CAGCAGCAGCAACAGTAATGGTATTATCGATCGTTGCAGGAACAATAATGGTATTTACTTAACATATGAATTTACAATCCGACATAAACTTCCATTCTTTGACCTAATATTAAAAAGGGATATAGTTATATGGATATACAACTTCTTCATTACAATAACTTCAACGTTTCGGTGAAGATACTAACACCGTCATCAAGCAAGTTGATTGGAAGCCAGTATAAGGATAGAGATAAAGATAGTCAAAGATAGTCGTAGGCTCGTCAGATGTCAGAACTATTCACGAGTTTCATAAAATTGGTATTACACGCGAGCTCGTTTGGTTTTCTTTATTTTAACCAAAGACGTTAATCTATATACGTCTTTGATTTAACAGATAGAGTTGTCAGATTGTCCGCTCAAATGTTTTCTTTACTAACAAGGTAGTCATGCAATTTGTTTATATTAAGGAACATTTAAGGGCAATACACTTTGTTCGACCATGTGCTTCGCTCACGTCCCATCCATCACGTAGTTTAGAAGTCGAGTTGTTTACGAGCAGCTACCTGCCAAGGACATTCACAAATCAAGTTCCAAAGTTGCTGGGATGTGAATGGTTAAAAGAGTTGATACTGGGGTTCAGTTCTAGAAAGACTGACATCTCAATCTCTGGCCTAGATCTAAGGCAATCTTGACTGTCAAGTCGTCCTTTGTAGACTTGCGTTGAATTCAGTTTTAATTTATTCTCTGGGGTTCGGGAGACAGACTACTGGAAAGTGTCCACGCTAAGATGTCCGCCTGGTCACATGAACGTGAAGGGCGGAACTCGATAATCCGGACCCCATTTATCCAGAGTGACCCGTTAGGGGCCATTATTCTAGGGTATGATGGTTTTTATAACAGCGTTTCGCTACATTTCAACAGCTCCGGCAATGGAATTCTAAAGACAATCTGATAATTATGCCACGTTTATCTCAGAACGGAATCCGCAGTGCAAAACTCCCTAGAAATAAATCAAACGCTGGTTATAATGCCACCCTGGTTATAATTGCACCCTGGTTATAATCCAACCCTGGACATAATGCCACCCTGGACATAATGCCACCCTGGTTATAATGCCACCCTGGACATAATCCCACCCTGGACATAATCCCACCCTGGACATAATGCCACCCTGGTTATAATCCCACCCTGGACATAATCCCACCCTGGACATAATACCACCCTGGTTATAATCCCACCCTGGACATAATCCCGCCCTGGACATAATGCCAGCCTTGTTATAATCCCACCCTGGACATAATCCCGCCCTGGACATAATGCCAGCCTGGTTATAATCCCACCCTGGACATAATGCCACCCTGGTTATAATCCCACCCTGGACATAATCCCACCCTGGACATAATGCCACCCTGGTTATAATCCCACCCTGGACATAATGCCACCCTGGACATAATGCCACCCTGGACATAATGCCACCCTGGACATAATCCCACCCTGGACATAATCCCACCCTGGACATAATGCCACCCTGGACATAATCCCACCCTGGACATAATGCCACCCTGGACATAATCCCATCCTGGACATAATCCCACCCTGGACATAATGCCACCCTGGACATAATGCCACCCTGGACACAATGCCACCCTGGACATAATGCCACCCTGGACATAATGCCACCTGGTTATAATGCCATCCTGGTTATAATGCCACCCTGGTTATAATCCCACCCTGGACATAATCCAACCCTGGACATAATCCCACCCTGGACATAATGCCACCCTGGTTATAATCCCACCCTGGACATAATCCCACCCTGGACATAATACCACCCTGGACATAATCCCACCCTGGACATAATGCCACCCTGGACATAATCCCACCCTGGACATAATCCCACCCTGGACATAATGCCACCCTGGACATAATGCCACCCTGGACACAATGCCACCCTGGACATAATGCCACCCTGGACATAATGCCACCTGGTTATAATGCCACCCTGGACATAATGCCACCCTGGTTATAGTGCCACCCTGGACATAATGCCCCCCTGGTTATTATACCACCCTGGTTATAATGCCATCCTGGTTATAATCCCACCCTGGATATAGTGCCACCCTGGATATAATGCCACCCTGGACATAATGCCACCCTGGTTATAATCCCACCCTGGTTATAATACCACCCTGGATATAATCCCATCCTAGTTATAATACCACCCGTGATATAATACCACCCTGGTTATAATGCCATCCTGGTTATAATGCCACCTTGGTTATAATCCCACCCTTGACATAATGCCACCCTGGTTATAATACCACCCTGGACATAATCCCACCCTGGACATAATGCCACCCTGGACATAATCCCACCCTGGACATAATGCCACCCTGGTTATAATCCCACCCTGGACATAATGCCACCCTGGTTATAATACCACCCTGGACATAATCCCACCCTGGACATAATGCCACCCTGGACATAATCCCACCCTGGACATAATGCCACCCTGGACATAATCCCACCCTGGACATAATGCCACCTGGTTATAATACCACCCTGGACATAATCCCACCCTGGACATAATGCCACCCTGGTTATAATCCCACCCTGGACATAATGCCACCCTGGTTATAATACCACCCTGGACATAATCCCACCCTGGACATAATCCCACCCTGGACATAATACCACCCTGGATATAATCCCACCCTGGATATAGTGCCATCCTGGATATAACCCCATTCTCATTAAAATCGGATCTTAGTTCTCGCTATCGCTGAGCAGTTTGATATTGGATATAACCCCACCCTGGACATGTCACCCTGGATATAATTCCACACTGGTTGTAATTCCACCCTGGACATAATGTCACCCTGGTTAAAATCCCACCCTTGTCATAATGCCACCAAGGCTATAATGCCACTCTGGTTGTAATCCCGCCCTGGATATAATGCCAACCTGTTTATAATGCAACCCTGGTTAATAATGCTATCCTGGATATAATCCCATCCTGGTTATAAGGCAACCCTTGTTTATAATGCGACCCTGTTTATAATGCAACCCTGGTTATAATGCCACCCTGGATATTATGCAGTCTGGGTATTATCTGCCATATTTTCCATTGGACGAAAGGTGGCATTATCACCAGGGAGGACTATCGGTATTGCTAATGAGACTGATCTTATTTCAGAACGTGAGTGAATGTGTGTAAGACCGCATCAGCGATATTCCAGCTTTGTGACGACGGTGTATAAATACTCGAATTTCGGCCGGCCAAACCAGCGATTGAATTACGATTAAGTGTTTTGTTTCGGTTTTTTTAATTTAATTTTATAGCATCTTTACTACATCATTATCCACGTGGTGGAATGTGTGTGAAGGGCGAAGGGGTGTGTGTGTATGTTGGTATAAGAGTTGCAGGCCACTGCATTTCTAGTTATTTACCCTCTTTCAACCTGTAATACTCAGAGAACACAACCAAAACACAAGGAGGGCTAGTGGATAATCCGGACGGATTAGTGAATATTTAGCCCGAGGGATTACAACTTATATTCACAAATGACGTTGTCAAACTTCAAGCTTTTATTTTTCCATAAAACCACCACTGGTGGTACATGAGACCAGAGACCATATAACAGAGGGACCATGAACCATGACCATGACATTGTATAATATAATGATTGAACATATAAGTATTTCCCCCCTTTTTGTGTCACCCCACAGGCGTGTTTGTTAGCTTGTTTGTTTGTCACTCAGCAATATTCCAGCTATACTGTTAATAATCCAGTCTGCACCAGACTCGGCCTTTGTCTCAAGTTTGAGTTTTGTGCTCATTCAAGAAATCCATTGAGCCCAATGATTTTGTTCGCCATTGTGACAGCCATATTGGATTTCAAAATGACAATTACCATTTGCTGTGCCAATCTAAAATGCTTTTTCGCAAATGCAATTCCAATTTGGTTAATTAATCAATTCAAACAATTAAATTATATTGATTTTTCTACAAACAATCTCGGTCAGAAATGTCATCATGTATTTGTCAAAATGCATTCAGACATCAATGGGTTGAACGTATTGTTGAGAATTAATCGAATGTTGGTTTTGGGTCAGGTTAACACTTGTCTCTTTATATTTTCTTTCCTTTTATGAAAGTCATTAAAGAAATCTTTGTATGTGTCAATTATGTTAAATATAGTACATCCACACAATTTAACAGGTTCATCCCCCCAAAATTAGCCCCTGATTGCGTTGTCGGCTAGAATTGTAACAACTTCTTAAAATCGTAGTTTTGGTTTTGGTGGTAATGCTCAAAGACGCACGTCTGTTGTGCGCAACACAGTCCTCCCATCCCCTCCTCTTTAATTTTTAATAATTCATCGTCAACATATTTGTTTGACAAGAACTATATTTAGAAACAGACATTCTGGTAATATATGTCGTCCAGACTATATAAACGCGTTTATCGTTCACTGGGTATTTGAATTAAATTTTAATTATTATATTATCATATAGTTAAACTCGTATTGACATATCTAATATTCTACAATATATTGCCTTTGAAAGCATACGGGAAAAAAGGATACAAAATTCAATATCAGAACAGAAACTCCGATAAAACTTGATTATTCATGAAGGCCAACCAAAATGCAGCTATATTAGTAATACCATACCTTCTTCAGTGAGTCTTTCGGTTAATTTAACGATTCCATGTGTAATGGAAAATTACTCCAGTTGACAGGAAACTTAAACAGTGTACACAATCGGTTAATATTATGTATTACGCAGCCCGGTTGGATCGCTCATTTGCACACGTTCTTCTGAGCACACCTCAGAGAGTAACAATAGTGGCCTTCACCTTTCTTCCTACACGTGAACAGTGCATGAATAGGGAATTCCATAGTAGACAAGCCAATGAAATGGCAAATTGTATGTGAACTCATTTTCTATTGGCTAAGTGCCTTGAGAGAAACCACCAATCAAATTGCCGTTAAATCATCAACTAGGCTTGCATTGGTTGTTCGAATTTCATGTCCACAATGTGCACGTGAACATAATGCTGGCAATATTTATCACTGGTCATTTAGTCGTAAATGGTGGACGAATGTAAACTGCATGGAACCTAGTCGCAAGAATGTTGTTCATTTACTCGCTGGAGGGTAAGTAGTTATGCATCAAAATAACAATGACCAGTCATTAAAATTGTTTTTGTGGAACAATAAACTGATATTGAACTTGTACGCTAACAAATCTGAACAGAGAGCGATGCGATCTTGGATCATGCATTATGACTTATAATGTCTAAAACATGCATAGTGTATTGACACTTTGTATTTGCACACTTATATTGATGTATTTGAGTTAATGTCCTTAAAAACAATGACAAACACAGATAATTATGTTTATGTCACCACGTGACCCCTGTCAGTTTGTGTTCCGCCAAGCAAAGATGGCGAGCGTACATGAATCAAAACAATCCTAAAATCGGTCATCGCCGGAAGTTTAGATGTATGAAAACATTTCTCTTGTCACATGTTTCACATCAGCACTGTTTCGCTGTTATAGAAGTTACCTTTTATTCAAAAACATAAGCTTATAAATCTTCACAAAACAACAATGTTGATGATTGTTGGAATATCACAAAATGGCATGATAGATATTAACTTGATTAAAAACTGTATCATACATTTTTCAAGCTGCAATTTTTACGAATTTATGAATTTCCAAATGACATGAATAAGCTTGTTTAGTGCTAAGACTTGAATTGTTATTTGTTCGAACCATTTGCAAGCATAAATTTAACCACTGTTGATCTTGATTAATTGCTGATTATGCTCATCAGATTTTTTTGCCACTCCATGTCCATAGTTGATTAAACGGAATTCATCATTTCTTGCAGCGCTGGTGGAACGGTAGGAGCCATTGTAACATGTCCTTTGGAAGTAGTCAAGACTCGGCTTCAATCATCCGTTGCCACATTCCACCCTGTGTATAACCTACCGACTCTTAATGTTGTGCCACATGTGCAACCCTGTGCAAACTATGCTACATGGAGCAATTCCTTCGTGTCACCCAATGAGTTAGTCCATCACTCATCCAAACCATCATCAGCAGGCATACTTGTGTGCCTAAGGTGAGTTTGTGCATTGTGTAAGTTACGAGGTGCTGGTGAGGTGAAATGGGGTTTAGTTTCAAAAGAATACATAGTTCATAGACACGTTAAGGAAAGGACTGGCAAAGTACATTCCATGTGTTCTAATTAATATATAGCAATGTGCATGTGTGTGTCTGGCTGCTTGTAAGAGATGAAACTAATGCCGATTTTAAAGAACTAGCCCACTGAGATACCATGCCACAATTGAACATGAATACCCCACTTAGACACAGTTGTTGTTTTATCCCCGTTTTCCCCAAGTCCAAGGAAAGGTAACAACAAGTACCATCTTTTACCGCTTTTGGTATGACACGGCTGGGGGTTGAACTCCTGACCTGGGCAGACACTCCATCCATAAGACCACTGTGGTGGATTAATGTTCATATATTGTACATGTAAAAGATCTGAAGGGAGAAACATACTTGAACAGTCCCTGCCCCTGATAAATACCTTGTATCCAGAATGGCGTTATTATGAAACCGGTTTTACCCCCAAAATGCCCAGAAGACCCTTGACAACCAATCTACATGAATGCCATGACAAAGATAATTGATCAATTTCAAAAGAATATGCAATTCATTATGATACGTAAAGAAAAGGACTGGCGAAGTACATTCCATGTGTTCTAGAGGTTAATATTATTCCTTATTCCATAGTCCTGTTCTAATGAGATCCATGAAGATCCGGGGTAGAATCGGTTATGAGCAACACATGCTTGCCGTAAAAGGCGACTATACTTGTTGTAAAAGGCGACTAACGGGATTGGGTGGGCAGACTCGCTGACTTCGTTGATGTATGTCATCAATCCCAATTGCATGGATCGATGTTCATGATGTAAATAACTGGATTGTCTGGTTCAGACTCGATTATTTACAGACCACCATCATAAAGCGGTGTAAAACAACAAGCCAAACCAAAACCTAACCTGTTCTAATGAATGAGAGTTGAATATGGTAATAGCTTAGTGGGCTCTGACAGACGAGGACTCAACGTTGACACATCCTGTTACCTGCCAGTTCAGAGTTTGTTTTGAACTAGCTGAGAGCCGCTGAGGGGAACGACAGTCAAGTTTTGAACATGTTGAAAATGAATGAATATGCTAGAAATCAGTGACAGAAACTAATATTTTTAGTCCACTAGTCCTTATGCTTATATAAGTTATAATGATAACATATAGACAAATCCTTAAAAATGGCAAATTTCTACTATTCCTTGTGATACCTTTACTATTGGGCAGTTGGGCAAGGACTAGTGCCAGTTTCTAACGTTGGGAACATATATTGTTGAAAATAGTTTACACTGATAGCTAGGGTGTCATGATTGGATTTGTAACAATGTAGGCACAGACAGACACAAGTTAATTAAACTAGTTCACTGGTTCAGACTAACGATTTAGCCAACATAAACAGTAACTAGTGACTTTTGGGAAGAAACAACCAGTTTCATGCATAATAATTTTGTCCTCGAGATTATCCCTTGTCTCAGGTGAAAGAAGTAGGCCCAAAGTCTACCCTTGTTTGAACAGAACCAGGCAGATTGTGTGTCATTACTCATAAACCACTGGTTTTTTTTATGTCTACAGAATAACTTTAGAACCCTCAGTTGCTGACAATCACGGCCCACTCTTTTGATCATAAAATACACATATCTTGGATTTTATTCAAAGAATGCCCTTGCTGGTTTATTGACTTATTACCTAGTACGTCGGTTGTTTCTGTCTTCCAATCTTTGAAGATCTGAGTTAATGATTATTATGCATCTGTAGATCAGGCATATAAACATGACAAGCCTATTGCATTATGTAGCAGTTTGTTAATAAATTCAGATCAAGGGATATTGTAATTATGGGTCTAATGAAAAGTACCATTTATGTATTCTCCAGGTGCCTCATGATGCATGTCATGATGAAATTAATGGCTGTTAAGGGTATCGGGACAAGCCATCAACAGGACTTTTTTATGAGTAATTAAGTTAGTTGATGAGATGAGCAAGTTACAAATCCCTTGTCTGAAGTATTCTGGTCTTTATCAGCAGTCACTCGTACATGAATTATCGATATTTCTATTCCCAAACATCTTTTCATCCTTCGTCTGAGCTATATATGGAAACTGGTGAAGCCATATTGATTTTGGTAGAGACAGTATGAGAGGATGCACATTTCCTCGTAGGTCGGATTTTGTGACTCATTATCTGCGAGATGTGTGCAATTCACCCGCAAACTCTGTTTTCTGTGTGTTAGTTTGTACTATTTCCATAGGCATCCGTGTAGATGGTTTCTAATATCTTTGACCAATTTTCGAGCCTGTTATGACATGTAGTTTTCTTAGTGGAAGATGGGTGACGGTGCCCAGCTTGACTCCTGCAGCATTTCTATGGCAACTGTGAGTCTGACTTAAGTGTTCAAGCTGAGCTACTATGTATTTAGGGATGTCATGATTCACCAATGTCATGATTCATTGATGTCATGATTCATGAGTTAACCTTTCATTCGAGTTATACACAAACTTGTCTCATTTGCTGGGCCACATCAAACATGTATGTCATCTCAGATGATAGGCATAAGATAGGCATATTATGAATAGGATCCGGGTTAGAATTGGTCTTCAGCAACCCATGCTTGTAAGAGGCAACTAACGGGATTGGCTCGCTGACTTGGTTTGATGCATGTCATCATATCCCAATTGCGTAGATCTATGCTCATTATGTCAATCACTGGATTGTCTGGCCCAGGCTCGATTGTTTACAGACCGTCACATATAGCTTGAATATTGTTGAATGCAGCGTTAAATAACAAACAAACATATACCCTTAATGTATTTTATAGCAGTTAATCTGTAAAACAAGGTGATTTTGAAGCAGCATGTGTCTGACATCTGTTAAGTAGCACTATGACCTTCCTTTCTACTTTGGGCTTTCTATGCCCTTTATCAGGGTCTAAATCAAGCACTTCTGAACACAATAGGTTAGTCAATATCCCCAACTACGTCAGAGTCTCAGACCCCACATATAGCACTGGCATCATTCCATGACCTGCTAACCCAGTGGAGTACCCCTGCCAGTGGAAAGTTCTGGACAAGGACTCCACTGATAACCACAGTGATCACATTGCTCAGCGCCAGACTGGAGTGTGTCCCTGACATTGACATTGACATTGAAAGCATGGTGGTGAACCTGTTTCATTGTTGCCACATGTGCTGTATCATGAAGTGTAGGTCACACTACTTGTGTTACATAACTGGTAAAAATAGACCCAGCAGACATCATCTTATGATCATGCATGGAGGGTGGGTGGATCAGTCTCAAGGGCTAGGAGTAGTTTGGGAGTGCAAGGTGAAGGTTGGAACAGATGTTCAGCTCATTAGTGTTCAATAAATGCATGTCATGTTTACATGGATAACAACGTTGTTTATGTTTAAGAGTCTGTTCCCCATGACCGTGAATTTGTCCTTGGTTCCTATGACTACAAGTTGTCGAGTATTGAGTATTAAGGCCTTATGTTTTTCTTGGTTTATGACATTGACCGACAAAAAAATCTGAAATTAGAAAATAAATAAAGTGACATTTGACCCCCAAAAAATTGGCTGACTCTTTTTCAATTAGGTAAAATGGAATAAAAAAAAATTTTCACTGCTGTACATTACAATAGTTGAATACATGGTAATGCATTAAGAAATCTTTGTTCCAATTAAAAAAACAATCCATTATCTTTCTGTATGGTTTTGCAATCATACTTCCGATGTCTCATTCTCATGGACACCAGGACCCCTTGTCTTCAAACACCCAAGTCTGTATGTTTGATATGCCATATAATTTACAGGATGTTTTCATTGTCAATGGTGCAGTATTCGTGCTGTCTTTTCATCAACCTGGTGACATGATTTCGGGCAGCGGGTTATTCGAACAGCCAGGTCATGAGAGCAAAAATGAATTCAAAACATTGAAACAAGATTGTTGAGATGCCATGCACCAGTACATAGTACTGGTAGTAACACTACTTACTAACTGTGCAGCACTGGATTCAATAGTTGTTTCCCAGGCATCAAAATGACCTTGTCACCGATATTCACAGCCTTGAAAAAAAAGCTGTTTTCACCAAGTCAGCACATATTTTGAGTAAGACCAATCTATTTTGGACAAGCTTGTTCTGATATTTAGGTGTTACATGATACAGTGTCACTTGATCCGTAAGATATATCGGCCCTTCTGTCAATGTTTCCCTATCTTGTCAGGGATAAGAATAGTATAGTTCTAACACAGCAGGAGCTAGCTAGTTTGTCAGGCTGGGTGATAGATATTACAATTAGTTTAAGTGTTTGACAAATAATGAATACTTGAAAGCAAGGATGTATAAATGGTTGTATTAGCAGGTCAAGTCTACATAACATCTAGAGTCTGAACTGGTGATCAAATAGGATATCCCAACTTGAGTTCAAACCTTGAAGCTTGGTCACTAGGTATTCCTTTGTTCATCATTTGTGTCGAACCTCGGATAACTATGGTATAAGTATTTACGTAGGTCCCTTCGACTTTGACTGTATAATTAAAAATTGAAGGAAATAGGTACCTTGGCAGTGTGCCTGTTCAGTCACTTGTCTGAAACAGTAGTCTAGTAAAATTTCTTAGGTCTTTTCAAGTTATATAAATGTTTGATCATAATTGACCTGGATCTGAATAATAGCCCTGAACAAAGTCTTGATGAATCCCTGGTGTTGCATTCAAAGGTTGATGGGCAACCACTCCCTACAGCTGATTGCAAGTCGTGATTGTTGACAGGTCAGATTGTTAATCATATCCCAATGTCTTGACCTGTTTGAGATAACACAGTGACTTACTTCAGCATGTGTAGGTGTGGAGAAATGTGAAGCATTTCTTTTCACTACCTACATGTCAAGCCTAAAGGAAACTCAATTGGTTATCAGCAAAGTTGGACTTGGAATAAATGCTACTCCTTTAAGTTAACAGTCCTTCACTATTGCTAGAGTACCTATGTCTCTCATTCGTAATAATTCTTTACAAGGGCGGGAAGAATACACCAACTGTGTGATCCGATACGCATCATGATGCCTTACTCATGATCCGATATGTATCGTGATACTTGCATGTGCTGCCATCTTTTTCATAGACAGGATGGCCAAGTACCTGGCACACTGATGATTTTCAGTTAGCAGTGTGAAGTATGGCACAACGGATGAAAATATTTGTTTTCGCTATTAATTTTCACTACAAATTAGTGTCTAGTTTAAACATTTGACATTTATGGTAAGAATCGATACTTGTATCAAGAAGTAAAAAATCGCGATCCATCGATGTTGTAAACACATATTCGTAGCAGCTATTTTCAGTAATGAACTTGAAATGCTAGTTACAACACATCGTGTGATATTTGACTGACAGAATTGCTGGGGATCATTAAACAAGTAATATATTTTAGCTAGTGTATCGCCTTGTATCAATACAGAAAATTTAGGATGCATCATTTCACCGCCCTTGTAAATCATGTAAATAGTCACTATGTTGAAGACTTGTTTAGGTTTTTGAAATGTTACCCGACATTAATGCAAATACCGGCATGTCATGCATAAGCTAGCACTCCGCTTTAGCCTATGGATGACAGCATGTTGAATGCTTTATGCACATAGATCAGAAACAGATGCTACATAAGTCACGTAGTTAGAAGGAAGCATTCCAAGTTGGTGACCATGAATACCTTGTACTGAATAAATAAAAAAGTTAAAATATTGCCTAAATAATAAGTGATGGGCAGAACTGGATTTCTCCCTAAATGTAGCTGTTTTCCTTTTTGTTGATGAGCTATAGGCCTTGATAGACTCAGTCTGTTGTTTCACCACTAATCTGAAGCCCAAGACTAGATCCTGAAATCTGATTGCAAACTAAAACACCTGCTACAAAAGCCACTCAAAAAAACAAAAATCCATCATAAAACAAAAATAATTGACATAGTAATAACTAAATTACAAACAGGCCACACTAAGTTAAATTCCCACCATCACCAAATTAAAAAACACCAAATCGGTAAATGCCCCCACTGCTCTCGCCTTCCTAGGAACATACTCGGTCCCTGGGAAGTCTATGTATGCTCACCATTGTTGTATATATTTGTTAGCTACTTATATATATGATGTTCATGTAAATAAATCTGTGTATATTGTACTAGTCATCTCTTGTTCTACCTGGCTAAGCTACCCCCTTTAGTCAGAACATGACAATTCAATGTCGGTCCAAATTCCCAAATAATGTTAAAATACCTGTAAAACGTAATAGGAACATGTGAACACCATCTTTAAGTGCCCACAGTTTGACAACGTCAAACCAAAGAAAGTATGAAAAACTACACATGAAACTGGGACTTTTGATGTAATATGGTAAATGCCAAAAACATTGGAGGTAATGAGTGTTCAAAGATCCAATTTTGTGTGGGACAAGTAACGGTTAGTCAGATACCAGTTTGATACTTTTGACATGCTCTTTGTGCATGTAAACATGAATATTAGGTTGCTTTCTTTTAATAACAGGTTGCATCGGTGCATGTTTTATATAGCTAAATCGAGCCCTGCAGCTACTGATGATGCCAAGAGACAAGGTCTGGCTGATAAACTAAAATGTTTCTGGCACAGACTGTAGAAGACTAGTAACTCATGGCTTCTACAAGTACCCTGTTACTCTGCCTGGCACTTGGCATTAAGGGGCCAAAACAAGGACGGGTCGGCTCGGAGTCAGTATACCGTGTCTGAGTGGGGTTTCATGTTAAACTGCAGCATGGCATCTCAGTGGGCTAGCGCTAATGAATCAGCATTGTTCCAAGTGCAAAAATTTTGGATGCAGTGTTAAATCCCACCAATCAAGTCTTGTAGCACGATTCTATACGACCAATCTGCACCTATATTGCACCTTAAGTGCTATTACAGCGGTAGCAACTAACCGCTCGTCCTAACAATGATAACTTATAACAAAATCAAATGGAAAATTTCTACTGGTCCTTATGATAAATTAGCTATTGGGCAGTTTGGCAAGGACTACAGGACTAGTGACAATTTCTAATGCCGTTAAGAGGTTTCCACATTTACAAGACACATTGGACCTCTAACATAGGTGATATTCTGGATACTCAATATTACATTTCAAACACAGGGCAGACACACATTACTGCAATATTGGTTTGTTATTACTTTTTTTGCAGCAGTCATTTCAGTTTTTGACTGATAAATTTCAAGTGGAAAAAGAAAATCATGTTTTATGTTAATGTTGCTTCTTCATTAAACGTGGGATATTCATCCAATCATGCTTTTGTCCTTTTTCGTTTTTAAGCACCGGGCATAAATTTGCACTGGGCATTATTAAACCCAGGGCCCAAGAACGTGCAGTCCCAGTATGGTTAATACAAAAATAATTTTTTCGCATCCTGAAGACAGTTTCAGTATGTTCAGTAAGTTTTGATGATATTAATGTTTTGGGTTGTTTTTAGAATTGATATGAATGTCTTCATGCTCATGTTTTCTTGAAGGGAATGTTAATGGTTCAGTTTTGTTCTTTCAGGTTCATAGTGAAGACAGAAGGAGTCCGTGGTTTATTCAAAGGTCTTGGCCCTAATCTAGTTGGAGTTGCTCCATCAAGGTGAGTACAAGCTGAAGTGATACTGTTGTCAGCTGCATTCTTGCTTGAACAAATACTTCACCTGAAGCTGAAGGTGCTCCCCAAGGCATAGTTCTATACAGCTAACTATGACATGTTTGAACAAGAATATGAGTATTTTCCTACACAATCCATTTATTGTAAATATAGTAGTCTACAAGGAAATGTCACTGGTCCATGATTTTTATGTCATTTCCCAGACTTATTCAAAATCTGTCAACCACCATGTTTGCTTGGTGTCCGAGACATCCATGTTTGTCTAAAATATGCAAAACGTTCTGTGTGATTTGTGTCGTGAGTTTTGAGTGTTTTGTATGTAAACAACTGTCTGAGCATGCGCCAATTTAATGAGGTTAAGGTCTTTTAACTGAAGTTTTATCAGCTTGAGAGTTAGCCGTCTGTTTCCTGAAGGCTAGGTGGATTCCTCTGCACTTGACCCAGATATGACAGTTTCCCATGACAAGTACATACATTCATACTTGGTGCCAAGGTTGTCAGGGCTGTATCGGCTTCACCTAGTTCTTTGCAATAGTGATATTTGCTAAGGTAAGGCATGGTACATTTTGTAGTGCAAGATAGGTGGCCATATGATGTCTGCTAACTGTTTAAGTTTAAGTGTACGAAGTTGATATCTTGGGAAATGTTTGTCCTTCATCATGATGTTAATGTCTATATGATGACGTTAATGTCTATTTTGGGGGCACGGGTGGCCCAGTCGTCAGAAACATATAATCGCAAGTTAGAAACCAAATTATGTTTGTAGGTTTCCCAGCACCATACCAATGCTCGTGGGTTTCACCAAAGTGGTAAACATCTTGAGACCTGGATCACTTTGGGCTTTTCCTCACACTTTTCCCATATAACCGGAATACTGTTCAAGTCTATTTTCCTCTTTGTGACTTCATTGTTAAATATAAAGAAGAAAAGGTGAATTTTACATGTGATTGTAGTCTCTACTAGGGCTGTTACGATTCACTGGCGTATTCAGTGAATCGAACCGTAACCATTCATGAATTGAATTCGTTATTCATGGCCACTAGAGTCGAATATTTATGAATATACTATCATTTTTATTTACATACCCTGTACCTTATAATATCCATAACAACATATTATATGCTTAGATTTCTTTCAATAACACTCTAATAATATTGAATTTGATAATATTGTTTTCACTTGTCATTGTTGCATTTGAGCAGATACTAGTACCTGGATAAGTGCAGTATATAAATGTATAATTTATTAATAATTAACAAACCATGTCAAATAAATTATGTTATTGTTTCACTGAATATAATAAATAATACATAAACTGCTGACTTGTTATTGTAAATTAATATTCGTATTCATTACCCTATATTCGTGATATGAATCGTATTCGTTGCAGCCCTAGTCTCTACTTTCAACTGCTGGTTAGATAAAACAGTGTATCAGTGTAAACTTGTTATCTCGGATTTGGCAAATATTCTTGGGATAGGAAAGGGTTGTGATCAGCTCCAATTTTGGCAGAATCATTATATTTTGATCCAAATTACACAAATATGATTATAGAATTTTGTGCATAAATTACAGGCAAGTTTAATAATTATTAGTAAAATAAAATGGTGTGTACTGATTGGTTCAAAATTGTTGTGGACTTTTCACCTTGTCTTGATGAGAGTGCTCCTGCTTGGATGTGTGCGTGCAAGTGGAATGTAACCAAATATTATCATGATTATTCCGCTCCAACAATTTCATATTCATACTTTATTACTAATAATCATGTTGTATGTATGTTGAGTATATATTTTTTTTTTCAGGGCTATTTATTTCTGCACATATGCCCAGGCCAAACAGGTTCTGAACCAGAAGTTTAACCCCAACACACCAATTGTCCACATCCTATCAGCGCTTTCAGCAGGTTCGTATGTAAACAGTCTGGAGTATTGTGTGTTAAGTGGTGGTGTAATAGGACACAGCTGTTGTCACAAGGCCATTTACAAAACTTGTGGTTTGAATGGCAAAATATAATACTGCCTATACCTGGATTAGCAATTTTTTGTGGATTTATTCATTATTGCATTTTGTAAGATGGACATTATAGGCTGAGAATCTGACTTACATGAACAAGTTTTTGAAATATGCAATATTTTGTTTCAAGCTTTCACTGATGATTTTAGTCATTGATGGATTTTTTCTCATCTGCAGGTTTCTGTGCCAGCACTGCCACCAACCCAATATGGTTTGTGAAGACAAGACTACAACTAGATCAGAAGTAAGAGCTTCAATAATTCACAACTGATCTTAATGAGTTTTGCAAGGTTTATTAAAATGTGCAAGATGTTGTTCCAAACAGTTCAAATTTCCATAACAGAAAATGGAATGCTTGTTTCCGGAGCAGATCTTGAAAAATGTACAACTGTTTTCCTCCAACATTTAGCTGATGTGACTGAAATACTGTTCAAAGCAGCATTAATCCCAACTTTTGACTGGTTTTTGTTATCTGCTACTCAATTATATGTTAAACATTCTTGTCATCATTGTTTCCTGTTATTTTGATCTTGCTCTCAGGACATCAGCTGACATCCTTAAGATAATCCTTTGTATGAAAAAAGCATAAGTCAAATTACGTCAATGGGATTTAAGTTTGAAGAAGTATATAGTGTTTGATAATCCTCCCTGTGTTTGCTGGGGCATATGTAGCTGATATAGCCGCCCAGATTTAGGGAGTGACAGGAAGCCTATGATGGGATGAAATATTGCCTTGCTGTTGAAGGTTGTCTCTGATCAATAATTGACCTACATCGTGTCAGGTTTTCTGCCAAATGAGCTCTCCAGAGCATTGGTTTTCTTTTCTGGTGTTAATATAGTTGATTTCTAGGAGGAAATAACTTACTTGTCTTGCACTATGAATACTTCTTCTACTTTTCTAGGTGAACAGTAACATGTTAACATATGCCTGTTATATATTAAATAGCCTGGCTTGAAAGAAAAGTTTTTAACTTCATATTTCATAAATACCAGTTGAATTGTATACTGAAATTATAATATTGTAAAGGAATGTCTTCTTGTTTCAGACGCGAGGGGAGCCTGTCGTGGCAGAAGTGCATCCGTCTCATCTACGAGGAACATGGCATGAGAGGGTTCTACAAAGGCATCACAGCATCATATTTCGGTGTGACAGAGACTGTCATTCACTTCCTCATCTACGAGTCCTTGAAAGCCCGACTCCTGAAGAACGACCACCCTGAAAGCAGCGGGGCTGGAATCTCATGTCTGTTGAAGTACATGATAGCTGGTGCCATCTCCAAAACGTGTGCGACAACCGTAGCATATCCTCATGGTGAGCTGAACACTGTCTGTACAATCTGGCACTGGGAAGATTTTATTTTGTCTTGACAACATTCCTAAGATTTTTAACGCAATATGTCCTATTATTAAGATGTGGCTATAAACATTTGTAATGTGTAATTTCAGAGGTTGCGAGGACGCGACTGCGGCAAGAAGGCAGCAAGTACCGAACGTTCATCCAGACCATTTTGTTGGTAGCCAGGGAGGAGGGCCACACAGGCCTGTATCGCGGCCTTGTCACACAACTTGTCCGACAGATTCCCAACACTGCAATCATGATGGCGACATATGAACTCGTTGTGCATCTCCTCTCAAAAGATGAAAAGACCAGCTAGCTCATTTACTCTCAACATAGTGAAGAGACTCCAAAATACATGCGACACGGCGCACATTTCATCGGAATCATTGTCTGAAAGAAAATTTGGCATTTGTGCCACACCACTCAATCCAGTCCAGATGAATCCGAGTCTAGATCTGAAACCCCAGGTCGGTTGAGGAAAAGATCTGAGTTTATGTTCTCAACACAGAATCTCATGTTCTGGAGGGCATAGAGATGTAGTCCTGTAGAGTTGGAACTAAAATTTTCGTCTGCACTCCGAGATCATTTCGCAGGACAAGTTTCATCACACATTGAACATTTTGGTGCTGCAACAGTCTTTCGACTTGTTCCACAGTTAATTATTGCACGTCACAGGCTGACAGTGTCTGCTTTTCAGTAGAAACCAGAAACAACTATTCCATAAAAGATCGGGTTATAAAAAAATTGGGGGGGAGGGGGGGAAATGTAATAAGGGTTCCACTTGCAATATTCATTTGTGACACAATCATTTGCACCTCATGGATAAGTCATACACTTGTGATAATGTACATATTGTTGGATGCAAAAGATGTATATATTTGTGAGAGAGTTTCTATAAATGCTAATTCATCAAAAAATCTCATCAGAAATGATTAGTAAGATGATCTGATTAAAATGAAACATTTGAATATGCAAAATATTGAAGTGACACTAAATTTTCATTTTTTCAGATCCATTCCAGTATTATTATTTTTTTTCTCCTAGCAGCAGTGCTTTTTCTAAAATGAGTGTACATATTTTGTGAATAAAATACAAATGAAAAGTATTTTGTGCCTTTTCAATTGTTCTTGAGAAACTGTCCACATGGGATGTTCCTCAAGATGGCAACAGACTTGCATAGCTTAAAACCTTGACTGTTACCTGTGGATGGTTTTGAAACATCTCAGCCCAGAGAATCCCTACACCAGTTTCACAATGGCATCATAAGACAAGCAACTGCCCACAGCTGTCCAAGCAGTTACTGGGGATTTAAACTGATCAGGGGAGCAAAATTTGATATGATCCTAAAACCAATTTCATCCCAACACCGCGATCCTTACACATTCATCGCTTTCCATGTTTGTTATAAACATTACACTTACTTTATATCTTCATGGCATGGTTATTAACACCATACGCCAGCCTCATCTTGCAGCAACAGCCCTGGAGAGAAATATTATCAGGAAATTGTGATTGCTATTCAAACAAAGGAATACTGTTTCAATCCTGTACAGCATTTCATTTCATTTAATCTGTTTAGTTTCGATAATGTAGCGCGACTTACTCTTAATCTTTTGTATTTTCAATGTAGAGTAGGCTACCTGTAGTGACATCATTAGCATCGATTTACACTATTGGGATACATCAAAATGTAAAAAGTACTCAAACACCCTCTAGGCCATTTCAAATTTGTTGCCGTTTTTTTCAAAATGATAAAAATATGTGTTCATTTTCTCGGCACAAACCTAATGCATTTGGAAAAATCTACCGCCTATCTCAAGTTCTAACTTGTTCAACTCAAATTGTCTCTCTCGTTCTTTTTCTTGGCTCTCATACTCTTTCTCATTCAAATTTAACTTTTTCCAACTCAAATTCTCTTGTTCTTTCTCTATGTCAAATTGGATTCTATCACATTTATCCTCAACTGGTATATCAGAAGTGCATTGCAACTAAGTTCTCTTCAGAATTTTAGTCCTTGTCATAGACTTCACAAACTCACGAAGTTCAAAACTCATGTTGGAAAAGATATGATACACATGATTGTAATAAGGAAGGTAAGACTTCCGCCTGATCCCCCCCCTGAAAAATATATATAACAAGTATTTGTCACAGAGTGACGAAATATCCCCCGCCATATACACCATAGTACCAAATATGAAGACAATCCAGCGATTAGTTCTTGAGATATTGTGGCAACACCGTTTTCCAACTCCAAAAACAGATTTGCCTGCTGTGACCTTGAAAATGGGGTCAAGGTCACCAAATCTGACAGGTGTATGCGGTGTCTGTATATACACTATAGTTCCAAATATGAAGACAATCCAGCGATTAGTTCTTGAGATATCGCGGCAACACCGTTTTCTAACTCCAAAAGCAGATTTGCCTGCTGTGACCTTGAAAATGGGGTCAAGGTCACCAAAACCGACTGGTGTCTGCGGTGTCTGTATATACACCATAGTTCCAAATATGAAGACAATCGAGAGGTTTAGTTCTTGAGATATTGTGGCAACACCGTTTTCCAACTCTAAAAGCAGATTTGCCTGCTGTGACCTTGAAAATGGGATCAAGGTCACCAAAACCGACTGGTGTCTGCGGAGTCTGTATATACACTATAGTTCCAAATATGAAGACAATCCAGTGTTTAGTTCTTGAGATATCGCGGCAACACCGTTTTCCAACTCCAAAAGCAGATTTGCCTGCTGTGACCTTGAAAATGGGGTCAAGGTCACCAAAACCGACTGGTGTCTGCGGAGTCTGTATATACACCATAGTTCCAAATATGAAGACAATCCAGTGTTTAGTTCTTGAGATATCGTGGCAACAAACAGGTGGGACGTACAGACGGACGTACGGACGGTCGTGAATACTATATCCCCCGCTTCGCGCTTTCGCGCGGCGGGGGATAATAAAAGGATTGAGCGGCAATGCATACATATATAACTTTTGGAAGGGGGGATATGGGTGGAAGTCTTTCCACAAAGAAGACTAATGATATACAAAACATGATTGTTGTGCTCTCCAAACATTTTACAACACGATGTCAAGTTTTGATAAATAAACAAGTGATTAATACAAGTGCATATATGCTTCCCACTTACAACTTAACCCCCTTAATAAAAAATTTGAGGAACCCCCATTTTGTTACGAGTGATGGAGAAGCAAATATAATGGATCACACAACATTCTAACTGCAGTTAAGAGAGATTATTCATTCTACACTAAGAATACTTCATTACCCACAATACTTGCTTACATGATAATAACAAAGGGCTCCTGGCAATAATGTCAGCAAAGCAACATGGCATTTTTAAAAAACAAAGCCATAGTCACCAGGGGGTATGATTCTCCAAGTCTGCATCAGACTTTATTGTTTTTGAAGTTTATTGTTTGTTCATTTGTTGTTTAACGCCTTCTGATTTAAAGCAATATTCCATCTATATGACGGTGGTCTGTAAATAATCGAGCCTGGACAAGACAATCCAGTGATTGACATCATGAGCATCGATCCACACAATTGGGATAAGATTGCATGCATCAACCAGGTCAGCGAGCCTGACTACCCAATCCCGTTAGTCGCCTCTTACGACAAGCACAGTCGCATCAACATGATCTCAGTTTTTGTCAGCCCTGACATGGGTTATTTCACACACAGAGTAACATCATAGATACGACTGGAGGAGGCAACAGATTAGACCGTTTCATCACCAAATTACAAACACCACTGCCCTTCTACAACAACCAGAAGTGTTTTAAAATGCTTTGCCAATAATCTAACTACTTTCACTGAAACACCAAATATACTCATCAACGGATAAAAAGTATACACCCCATATTTAATCATACATCAGCACATAAAACACAAGCAATTTCTGTGATAATATAGTTTTATCAATAAAATACCAACCCAATACCAATATCAAATCATCGGTTGCTAGTTTCAGAACTGATGGAGGAATAAGGCTTTACACATTTTAGCAGCAGCAGTAATAATGTCTGAATACAAATGATTAATCCTAGTCCGATAATCTAGTCTGCCAGCCGACTATATTATGCAGAACGACTTAAACATGTATTAAAAAGACTTCTTGCATTGTATCAACAGTAAGGTGCTGTTTTCTGACACCATTGTGTGTTGCTTAAAACACTGCATTAAGCGATATTCAAGCTAAATTACAGCGGTCTCTAAATAATCGAACCTAGACCAGACAATCCAGTAATTGCTATCATGAGCATCGATCCATGCAATCATGGCACTTTGGATACGATGACACACATCAACCAAGTCAGCAAGCCTGACACCCTGATCCCATTATTCGCCTCTTACGGCAAGCATAGTTGCCTCTTATGACAAGCAAGGGTTGCTGAAGACCTATTCTACCCCAGTTCTTCAATTGGGATAAGATGACACGCATCAACGAAGTCAGCGAGCCTGACACCCTGATCCCATTAGTCGCCTCTTACGGCAAGCATAGTTGCCTCTTATGACAAGCAAGGGTTGCTGAAGACCAATTCTACCCTGGATCTTCACAGGTCCAGTCTGATAACGTGATGAGCATCGGTTCCTGCAATGTGGATTTAATGTCCTGAATTCCCCATTTTCACCAAGCCAGACAATCTGATCCATTAGGTCGCCTCTTTCGACAAGCACAGTTTGCCGGGACCTATATTGTAATGTTCTGACAGTGTGTTCAAGTTCTCAAAGCTGAGTCTCTGGTGTTTGTTGCTGAATGCTGCACACAGCACCATTCCATCTCTATGACCGTAGCCTGTAAATAATGGAATCTGGACCAGACAATCCAGTGTTATGGGCGATAATCAATAACATCAGGTATTATGACAAGCAATCAGCCCCAAAGTCTGACCACCTGATCCATAAATGGCCTCTTTCATGAGATGAGGTGAAATGGGGTTTAATGTCATGTCCAAGATTATTGCATTTATATAACGATGTGCATGCACGTGTGTGTGTGTGTGGCTGCTTGTACTTGTCTGGACGGATGCCGATTTTATAGTGCTAGCACACTGAGATACCATGCCGCAGTTTAACATGAATACCCCACTCAGACACAGTATACTGACTCCAAGCCGACCAGTCCTTGTCTTAGCCCCTTAATGCCGGGCGCCAGGCAGATAACAAGTACCATCTTTTACCATCTTTTGGTATGACGCGGCCGGGTATTGAACCCCTGACCTTCTGCTCTCTAGAGACTGTCTTCCACTAGACCACCGAGAGGCGGTGCCTGTTTCGACAAGCACAGGATGCTGGGTACCCATTCTACCCAGAATCCCCACAGGAAAGGTGACGTTCATCATCATCATCATCATCATCATCATGACCATCTGCCAAGTTAGCAAGTATCATGTCGTGTATCCCAACTCTGACATTCCTGTTGAAACCAGTGGCATCTCTAAAACTAATGACATATTCATGTTATAGCAGAAGACATTCAAGCTGTTGCTCAGAAATATTTCCATTTTAATGCCATCAAACATATTGATCCTCATTATATACAAATACAGAGATTATTACACAAGAATGTGTCCTACTCATTTTACCAAAGTGAATTTTTGTTATTCCGACATAAATTGTGTTTATGTTAGGTATTTAATTACATTTCGTTTATCATTGCACATATCACAGCCTTGATTACCCAGAATATTCTCCATACTATTATGATCAGGTTATAAATATGCAGGGCTCACGCAGACATGGCTTCTCCATCTCTTTTATCACTAACGTAGCACTGAAATTCTCTTGCTCATGAGTTTGACAACAACCAATAAAAATTCCTCTTCTGAACCCGATTTTGACACAGAGTATATTCAAAGCTGCTGCCTATTCCAAGTGAGTTCTCAATATAAAATCAATCAAATCACAAGACTGTCTGGGGCTGAACATTTGATATTCTGTTGGGGAGAGCTTGCATTTATATCGAGATTAGATATTTTTTCAGCTTCAGCTGCAAAACCAGATATCTTTTTACTTAAAACCATGAGCCAGAATTCTTTTCCCAGAAAAACGTCTCACAACAATATAAGTTTTGTGACAGGCAACTTCCTTTTTTTTCAACAGTCTGAAGCAGAAGTATTTTCAGGGACAATTGGTGTTTTTTGGATAAAATCCCCATCTTCCTGAGACAAGGGAGTTAACTGACTATAAAAGTCCAGTTTCCACCCTTGCCGAATATGGCAGGAATTATGGAGTTATATCATGGCTGACCGAGTCCATGCACAGTCCAAGATCGCGTAATGAAATTAACATCAGGTTCGTCAACTGCCGTACAGATTTCGGTCGATTGCAGCATGGGTACTGTCCACTAGGCGTCAACAGATATTTTCCAAATCCTTTCATGTTTCTAATTGAGGGGCTCACATGATTTGATGTACTTCACGAAGTAACACCATTTTTTTTACAATACAGATCTTGATTGTTGATCTGAAAGTCTTGACTGGGCCATTTTGTTAGAAGCAAATGCAAGTTGTTTTGTTCGTTGTTTAACGCCACACTCAGCATTATTCCAGCCAAATGATGGCGGCCTGTAAATAATCAAGTCTGGACCACACAATCCAGTGAGCATCGATCCTTGCAATTGGGATGCGATACATGCATAAACCAAGTCAGCAAATCTGACTACCCGGTCCCGTTAGTCGCCTCTTAGGACAAGCATGGGTTGCTGAAGATCTATTCTAACCCGGGATCTTCACTGGTCCTATCTAACTTTGTACCATACACCAACAGATCTACACATCCATCACACAACTACAACAGGCAACATGTCATCACAGGGCGGGATGCACTTAAGCGTTCCCTAGTCTTAAGACCTGCCTCACTCAGTTGCCTTCCTATCTCGTTATTGATGAGACAAAATAAATCTGAGGTAATCCAAGTTTAAAACAATTCAAAGTACCAATACAGGAGAGAAATTTACATGAATCAGAGTTTTTATGATTATTATAATTATCCTGATACAACATATTGCAATTTCCCTCTCTCTTCGATGCCATACCAAAGAACCCAAAAACGTGCATCTCGACCAGAAGGCGCTAGGAGTTACTTCCCCTTGAACCCTCTTTCTCCTCATTGAGGTACAATGGTGTAGCATAGTTTCCAGTGTTCCACAGAGGCTCAATGGAGGAGTGTGCAACAAGAATTATACTTTTCAATGAAATAAAAAATGGAAGGAATGTTCACTAATCTCTGGTATCATGTAAGAAATATCACAAGGCACTGGGAACATATTTAAACCACGCCATTATGATGTCAACCCTGCAATCAGCACAAGGAGTGAGTATGGTTTTTACGCCGCTTTTAGCAATATTCCAGCAATATTCCAGCAATATCACAGCAAGGGATACCAGAAATTGGATTCAATCAGCACAAGGAAGTTTGAAATCAGGAGCTGTTGACAAACAGAAGAATGAAGAACATCTAATGATACAGAATTTTAGACACACTGGTGAGTTTGGTTTACCACAGCTTATAACAGTATTGGACATATATCACAGCTTGTGGGAGGAAAGCCTGAAGTCGTGAAACCCATGAGCACGGGTATGGTGCTGACAGGTCTTGAAACATAATCGAGGCGAACAGGGATTCCAACCCACGATCACAGGTTTCTGGTGTGGCCAAGGGAAGCAACTGGGTTTAGACACACTAAAACAGGATTTCATCAGTCGCTTGTCATTCCATTATCAGTACCAGATATAAACCAAATGACAATCAGTTATTTCATTACATTTTAATATATGATAAAGTTCTGTCTATATATACACCTTAAAATGTTACATACACATAGTATATGCTGCAAATCAGGGCTGACTGTCTTTCTCATTAGTCATGGTAATTGTGTTCCCATTGTTCACAACAAATTTGGTAACAGCAATCTTTAGCACCGACCTGTTGTTTGTTGTTAAATGCAGCATTCCAGCTATATGACAGCCACGTCTGAATACTAAGTCACCAATCCTGACTACCAGATCCACTTAGTCGCCACTTAAGACAAGCATAGATTGCTAGGTATCAATACATTTGGCTAAGATTATTTTGGAGTAGTGCACTTCCCCTGGCGCAGCTTTTCAGATTCATTTAGTGCCGCGTCGAGGGTCGAACTCACATCACCGGCTTGAAGTAAATGAGTCAGTGAGTCAACACTTAACCACGGGACTACAGGCGCTTTCACAAATATTTTCTCTGTGAAACTCAAAACTTGATAGACATATTTTCAATGTGTTTTCTTCAAATTACATTGAATTAATTCCTTAAAAGAGAAAGCAAACACACACCATACGTCACACTTACACTAAGGATCATAAAGGGGTGCCTAAAACAAAGGATCGTAAAAGGGTGCCTAAAACAAAGGATCGTAAAGGGGTGCCTAACCCTAAGGATCGTAAAGGGGTGCCTAACCCTAAGGATTGTAAAGGGGTGCCTGACACTAAGGATCGTAAAGGGGTGCCTGACACTAAGGATCGTAAAGGGGTGCCTAACCCTAAGGATTGTAAAGGGGTGCCTGACACTAAGGATCGTAAAGGGGTGCCTGACACTAAGGATCGTAAAGGGGTGCCTGACCCTAAGGATCGTAAAGGGGTGCCTGACACTAAGGATTGTAAAGGGGTGCCTGACACTAAGGATCGTAAAGGGGTGCCTGACACTAAGGATCGTAAAGGGGTGCCTGACCCTAAGGATCGTAAAGGGGTGCCTGACACTAAGGATCGTAAAGGGGTGCCTGACACTAAGGATCGTAAAGGGGTGCCTGACCCTAAGGATCGTAAAGGGGTGCCTAACCCTAAGGATTGTAAAGGGGTGCCTGACACTAAGGATCGTAAAGGGGTGCCTGACACTAAGGATCGTAAAGGGGTGCCTGACCCTAAGGATCGTAAAGGGGTGCCTGACACTAAGGATCATAAAGGGGTGCCTGACACTAAGGATCGTAAAGGGGTGCCTGACACTAAGGATCGTAAAGGGGTGCCTGACACTAAGGATCGTAAAGGGGTGCCTAACCCTAAGGATCGTAAAGGGGTACTTGGTGGCAAAGGGGATCCAAGGACTAGGGACAGAGTTGGGGTAACATACCCTAGCCCTAATACAACTAACCTAAAGGATAGAAGAGGCACACAAGTTCTGTGAGGTGAGAGCCACAGATGTTAGCCTGAGCCAACTAGCGCGATATAAGCTGTGCCTGACAACTGCATTGTTGTCGATCAGTGTCCAAGACTTAAACATCAATGACAGCACTCCTCATCCCATATGGTGGAAGGGAGCTAACTCTACAAATTTGTCTCTCCATTTCAAAGTCTGAGCATCAACAACCAAATGATTATCTTAACTATGGGAGGTAACTCCTCCTGGAAAACATTTTCTCTCTACTGCAAATACCTTCTGCAATGTCATCATGTTGACAACATTAATCCTGGATGTATAGCCCATGATGAAACTTGTATTAAAAATGGCATTTCCTCTTTTTCCAAATAATAATAAATGATCTAAGACAAAGTAACTTCTAAAAGACTTGTGTATGAACTTATGCAGTAAAAGAATACATTAAACATTGAATTGTTGACTAAAAGTGTGTTAATTGTTACATCAATTCAGTCTCCCATGGGCTGACAGCTTGAGCAGTCCGCACAGAGGATTGGGTACCGGTAGTAACAATGGCTGCCAACAGATACAGTCACCTCAAGCAACCATAACACTGAAGTGATGTAGGTGTGCTGCATTTGCATGAAGACTAGGGTACTGTTGTACAAAGCGATCTTAGTGCTAAGGAGATCGTAACTCCCCTACCTTAAAATTGACATACGAAAGTCTTGCGCCAAGACGATCCTATCTCCCCAACTTTAATATAGACTTTTGACAGTCGTAGCGCTAAGACGATCGTAACTCCCATACTTTAACATTGACTTATGACATTCGTAACGCTAAGGTTGTTTTGTACAACTGCATCCAGGTTTTTTTTGTTCTCTTGTGATAATCAGTCTTCTCTGGCAAAATGTGTTTCATCCTGAATCACTCTGAATGCTGAATGCGTTCCTTCCAAAGAACTAGTATACATGTTTGTTTTCCTGTATACATATTCACATTGGTATATCATTAGTCGGCCAATCCTTAACTTGCTAAAACTACATCACACAGACGTAGCAGCTACATGGTCCCAGGAAATTCACACTGAAACCAAGAGCCTCCAGAGAACAACATCACTGGTTTTTACATTCATTGACCTGGTTTGGATTAGCTCTTGAAATTTTCACTTTTGTGACAACCCGACCTGCCTTGGGTTTCCCCCCTTCCTTCCTCCCTGGCTTCTCCTCGTCCACTAAGGCAGTTTGTTCCTTCTCTCCTTCCGAGTTGACCACGGTGACATCATCGGACAGAGACACACTCCTTTCACCCGGGAGTCTGACCGATGTACACTTCTTCCCGGGCTGGTCTTCACCCGACTCGACGTTCTCCCGCTGACTCTCCACAAGCACACTTTTGTTCCCTGTCTTGTTCAAGATGGTGGAAGCATCAAGGCCTTCAATGCCGTGACTTTCACGGATCTTCATTTTCTCCTCTTCTGTCTCATCCTCAGAGTCGTCCAACGGAATCTTTTCCTTTTTGAAAACCATTCCATGTTTCTTTTCTTTTAACTTCTCTGCAAGTAAATCAACAAAGTAACATTTATGCAGCAAAATAACTTCATGTGTCATCAGTCAGACTACTTCATAGGGGGGCGGTGGGGTAGCCTAGTGGTTAAAGGATTGGCTCGACACACCAAAGACATGGGAACAATGTGTCAAGCCCATTTTTCGGTGACCCTGCCGTGATATTGCTGGAATATTGCTAAAAGTGGTTTAAAACCATATTCACTCACCTCATGAGGCTCAATGAATTATACAAATATTATTCCCCAATGACTGTTCTAAACAAAGGGGTACTGGAATCAGTGAGTTTGGCAGCGAGTGTTTCAGTCTATGACAAGGACCCAGTGTTTTTCATGCTTAATTTCATATCTGTATCTGTACCTGGCCAGTACCTGATCAAAGTGATTGCATGAACATCAACAATATCAGGATCCCTTCAGTTAAATGTAAGTACACAAGTAACACACAAGTAGGGTTACCTTAGCCATCCAAGTTTCGAAAGCTGTGTTCTGTGACAATCACGGTAAATATAAATACACATGGGTTGTATTGTGATATGTGTATTGCGGGCGGACATATTGCAATGTATCGGTATTCCAGTTACAATACACACCCAACACACCAGCCATGCGTACTGTGTGGGGTGGAGATTGCTTTGTAAAAGGACAGAGGAATGCTAGGAATACTAGCTCTATTACATCATTGCCATAAATCCTGTATTTTGGTTGTGATCACACTATAAAATCTTCAGATTTTCAACAGAAGTCCTCTTCACCATCAACTATCCATAGTCAGTTGTGCAAGTAATAGTGTCTTGCTGCCCAAGGCCTCTTGCACACATGTAAGGTGGGAAACCTCACTACTTTCGAACATCAGCTCTCCAGATGCAGATAAATGAAAGACTGATGACTGAGTATGATTTTAAGTCGCTTTTAGCAATATTCCAGAAATATCACGGCGGAAGACACTAGAAATGGGCTTCACACATTGTACCCATGTCGGGAATCGAACGCTTTAACCTCTAGGCTACCAGACCGCCCCGATAAATGAAAGAAGTGAGGTGAAGATTGTATAGTGTGATGACTTCCAATATACAGGATATATGGCAATGATGTATTAGAGGTGGGATATTCACATGAATTATCACCATACTAACCAGGGTCATATTTCAAGAGCAACTCTTCATTCTGGAGGTAGAGTTTGACACTTTGGCTGTGTAGTTTGGCCTTTTCCTCCTCCACAGTGAAGATCTCCTTCCTCTGCTGCAATACCTTGTTCTTTGAGTCCAGCAACAACATGCTCGTCACACGAAGCTCCTTGCCCACCTCCGCCAGCTCCTTCCTGAAACAGACAACCCCTCAGGGTGAGTGGGAGAACAGGGTCGTAGTCAGGTCAACACTGATGGAGCTCACTGCCCACCTCCGCCAGCTCCTTCCTGAAACAGACAACCCCTGGGGGTGAGTGGGAGAACAGGGTCGAAGTCAGGTCAACACTGATGAGCTCACTGCCCACCTCCGCCAGCTCCTTCCTGAAACAGACAACCCCTCAGGGTGAGTGGGAGAACAGGGTCGTAGTCAGGTCAACACTGATGGAGCTCACTGCCCACCTCTGCCAGCTCCTTTCTGAAACAGACAACCCCTGGGGGTGAGTGGGAGAACAGGGTCGTAGTCAGGTCAACACTGATGGAGCTCACCGCCCACCTCTGCCAGCTCCTTCCTGAAACAGACAACCCCTGGGGGTGAGTGAGAGAACAGGGTCGTAGTCAGGTCAACACTGATGGAGCTCACTGCCCACCTCCGCCAGCTCCTTCCTGAAACAGACAACCCCTGGGGGTGAGTGGGAGAACAGGGTCGAAGTCAGGTCAACACTGATGAGCTCACTGCCCACCTCCACCAGCTCCTTCCTGAAACAGACAACCCCTGGGGGTGAGTGGGAGAACAGGGTCGAAGTCAGGTCAACACTGATGAGCTCACTGCCCACCTCCGCCAGCTCCTTCCTGAAACAGACAACCCCTGGGGGTGAGTGGGAGAACAGGGTCGTAGTCAGGTCAACACTGATGGAGCTCACTGCCCACCTCTGCCAGCTCCTTTCTGAAACAGACAACCCCTGGGGGTGAGTGGGAGAACAGGGTCGTAGTCAGGTCAACACTGATGGAGCTCACCGCCCACCTCTGCCAGCTCCTTCCTGAAACAGACAACCCCTGGGGGTGAGTGAGAGAACAGGGTCGTAGTCAGGTCAACACTGATGGAGCTCACTGCCCACCTCCGCCAGCTCCTTCCTGAAACAGACAACCCCTGGAGGTGAGTGGGAGAACAGGGTCGAAGTCAGGTCAACACTGATGAGCTCACTGCCCACCTCCACCAGCTCCTTCCTGAAACAGACAACCCCTGGGGGTGAGTGGGAGAACAGGGTCGAAGTCAGGTCAACACTGATGAGCTCACTGCCCACCTCCGCCAGCTCCTTCCTGAAACAGACAACCCCTGGGGGTGAGTGGGAGAACAGGGTCGAAGTCAGGTCAACACTGATGAGCTCACTGCCCACCTCCACCAGCTCCTTCCTGAAACAGACAACCCCTGGGGGTGAGTGGGAGAACAGGGTCGAAGTCAGGTCAACACTGATGGAGCTCACTGCCCACCTCCACCAGCTCCTTCCTGAAACAGACAACCCCTGGGGGTGAGTGGGAGAACAGGGTCGTAGTCAGGTCAACACTGATGGAGCTCACTGCCCACCTCCGCCAGCTCCTTCCTGAAACAGACAACCCCTGGGGGTGAGTGGGAGAACAGGGTCGTAGTCAGGTCAACACTGATGGAGCTCACCGCCCACCTCCGCCAGCTCCTTCCTGAAACAGACAACCCCTGGGGGTGAGTGGGAGAACAGGGTCGTAGTCAGGTCAACACTGATGGAGCTCACTGCCCACCTCCGCCAGCTCCTTCCTGAAACAGACAACCCCTGGGGGTGAGTGGGAGAACAGGGTCGTAGTCAGGTCAACACTGATGGAGCTCACTGCCCACCTCCACCAGCTCCTTCCTGAAACAGACAACCCCTGGGGGTGAGTGGGAGAACAGGGTCGTAGTCAGGTCAACACTGATGGAGCTCACTGCCCACCTCCACCAGCTCCTTCCTGAAACAGACAACCCCTGGGGGTGAGTGGGAGAACAGGGTCGTAGTCAGGTCAACACTGATGGAGCTCACTGCCCACCTCCACCAGCTCCTTCCTGAAACAGACAACCCCTGGGGGTGAGTGGGAGAACAGGGTCGTAGTCAGGTCAACACTGATGGAGCTCACTGCCCACCTCCACCAGCTCCTTCCTGAAACAGACAACCCCTGGGGGTGAGTGGGAGAACAGGGTCGTAGTCAGGTCAACACTGATGGAGCTCACTGCCCACCTCCGCCAGCTCCTTCCTGAAACAGACAACCCCTGGGGGGTGAGTGAGAGAACAGGGTCGTAGTCAGGTCAACACTGATGGAGCTCACTGCCCACCTCTGCTAGCTCCTTCCTGAAACAGACAACCCCTGGGGGTGAGTGGGAGAACAGGGTCGTAGTCAGGTCAACACTGATGGAGCTCACTGCCCACCTCTGCCAGCTCCTTCCTGAAACAGACAACCCCTGGGGGTGAGTGGGAGAACAGGGTCGTAGTCAGGTCAACACTGATGAGCTCACTGCCCACCTCTGCCAGCTCCTTCCTGAAACAGACAACCCCTGGGGGTGAGTGGGAGAACAGGGTCGAAGTCAGGTCAACACTGATGGAGCTCACTGCCCACCTCCGCCAGCTCCCTTCTGAAACAGACAACCCCTCAGGGTTTGGTTATGGATGTGTTCTGAACATCAAAGTCAGTTTGCTAAATGACATCATTTCTTTTTAAGAAGTATCTTTTGGTTAAGTCTGAAAGACTAAAATGATGTAAATAAAACATGTTAAGTGCCCATGTAGTCATTTGTTTTCAGTGAGTTTGCTTGCTTGAACGCTGAATTCAACAATATTTCTCAGACATTTACCACTTTGATGAAACCCATGACAATGACTAGGTGCTGAAAAACCTAGTTACATAATCGGGACAAACAGGATTCAAACCCACAACCATAGATCTCGGGCATGCCCAAGGGATGCAACTCTGCACAGCTAATTGCTGTGCCTTAGATGACTGGGCCACCCATAACCCCTTCTAAAAAAGTTAAACTATTTGATGTGTACTCACTCCTTAGCCTTGAGCATGTTGTGGAGATACTGAACATAGTCTTCCTTGGAGCCATTCCCAAACACCTTGTGGAACGCGGCCATGTGGTCAGCCTGTCCGTGCTGGAACACAGACAGAAGTAGCCGCGGGTCAAAACTGGGCCATCTTGCCATTCAGCATGCTGTTGCAGACAGCTTCTAACTCACACAATATATACTAATTCTTGTAGTTAAGTTTGAAATCAAGTCAATAAATCGAAACATGTTAAAGGCAATAACTTTTGAACTGTATAATTGGCAGTTAAATTATTTATTTAGGGGCCTTTAGCATTTATAATGCAACAAAAAGTATTCCTTCTGCACCAGTTGCTTTCAGGAAAACTGACACGAGTGGGAGATCATAGTCCAAAGGAAATAAGAAAAATATCTCTTGGTCAAAAGGAATACCCCTGTTTTCTCCAACTCTTCAATTTTTGTGGCAAGATTTTTTATCTGTGAGTTAGCATCAGACAACTGAGACTGGAGACTGTCGACTGCTTCCCTGTCTGATTGTCCCCCGCTCATCTGCAGTAGCATCACCATCTGCATCTACACACAACACAAACAGCAACATCACCATCTGCAAACAACACAAGCAACATCGCCATCTCTACACTCGCCATCTCTACTGGTGTCATTCTGCATGTGATGTCAATAAGTAAGTTACAAGCGTGTCCATATTTAGTTTCTTTCTTGTTTCTGCCACAGTCAGCGATATTAAAGCTAAAAGTGGCGATACCACATTCCTTGCTTTCAGATTTATTTGGGGCATTGGGAGCACAATCAGGTAGATCTATCATGACCAGATGATTAGACTTGGGGCTTATATAACATTAATACATTTTGTGGGAAGACTACTGGCATTCACAACTCTTTACAAGTTCCAGCTGACGAGTCGAGGTCTAGATCTAGAGTTGTCTACCTTGAGTTTGTGGTGCTGTTGTTTCTCTATCTCACATTTTTCTTTCAGCATCTCAATCTGTACGTTCAGTGAGATCAGTTTCTTCTCTGCAACCACACGACGGTCTTCAACCTGCACAACAAATAAGAACATCATCCCTTTCTGTATTCCTTGAGAGTTACAGGACGAAGGCAAGCTTTCTTTGGTCACGATAATGAAACAGCACCATAAGGCAGGGTTTTCAAAACTCTGGGTCCAGGGGATCTCTATCAATTAAGTTTGAGGATCCACTCACAAAATATAAGTGTCGTGTAAAGTAATGAAATGGTGCAGTGTGTGAACTGTATTGTAAGATTTGATAAATACTTCAATTACAGGAACTTTATGGAACTTTATATTTCTTGTGACAAATGTCATATTTGGGAAAACCCTTTCTTGGTAAAGTCAAGATTCTAGTACTTTTAGGGGTGGAGTCACATCTGCAATTCGAAACCAAACTCCCAGAGTGAGGCACCTAATAGTCAGTACACAAAGTCAGGGAGCGTGGGTTCAAATCCCTGATGGGACCCAACCCCAAAAAGTACAAGAATCAAGAATCAAGTACTTCAGCAAGAAAAGGTTATCCCAAATATAACATTTGTTACAGTTGACTGCTTTCCAAATGGCATTGTGTGTTGATATCTATATTTCTTGTCAAGAATATTATTGTGCCTCCCTCTGGGTGCAACACTTTATGTGCCCAGTCTCCACATGTGCAGCAACATAAATATCTTGTCCTATAGTCCTTGCCAAAACTGCCAAATAGTAAAGGTATCATAAGGACAAGTAGAAATTTGCCATTTTAGGGGGATTGCCATATGTCATATTATAAGAACTAATGGACCAAACCCATGGGCATTGGGAGCACTGGGTTATGGCGCTCGGAAATCGTGGATTGTAACAATAGTCATCATTGTTTATGATTATCATTGCCAAGTTCCTGTATTTTAGCTGCAATCACATGAGGTGAGGTGAAATGGAGTTGAACTTTGCATCCAAGATTATGACACTTATACAAAACTCCCACCCTCCTCCCCATTCATCTGTCTCTAGTTGACAGACATTTTGGAAAGAAGCCAAGATTTTCCCGCCTTTGCAAGCCAAGAGCTGGATGTTGATTGGTGGTACTATTGTGGTGACAACTAATTGTGTGAAGTTCAAAGTGAAGAGGACTTCTGTTGAAAAATCTGAAGATTACTTTTGGTGTGATTGCAGCCCAAATACAGGAATTTGGCAATGATTAAATAAAGGTGGAGTATTTACAAGAATTATAGGCTGCTGGCATGCTTAAGGGAGATACCTCTGCACAGTCAAGAGCGGTGCCTTCAACAACGTGGCCACATTTGCAGGATAAGTTAAAACAATGACAAATTATAAAGACATCCATTTCTAATATCCATCAAGTCTTAAAATATTTCACTAAAAACAAACTGTTAACAATGTCCCAGGAATACACACATCTAAAAGGCCTGTAAGGTACAACTCCAAAGTGGTTATAAAAGAGTGTGTGTAATAATTGTTACAAGTGGTTCGGTAAAGTTTTGCCTTCAATAGTTGTGAAACATGTATATTACATTTTTACCCTGCTAGCTATACCAGTAAGTGACAGAGAGAACGTGTTCTTTAAAAAGAAACACTGAAAGTTAGCAGGGGGTCTGAGGGATTATATAATTTATGCATATATTGTTATGGCATGTATCACAAAAGTGATTCTTCATGCAACAAAACCTGCAGAATTATGCAGGTCTGAGGAAAATTCTTATCCCTGCAGAGAAAACTTAATGTATTTTGTTATTGTTTTGCAATTTTTATTATTATTTTAACCATCAATCCCAACTTTTCTGCAAACCAACTTTTTTAACCAAGTAATACAATGTAGTATTAAAAGGACTGATGATTCATTTCATAATTCCAGATGCTGAGATCAGACTTGAGGACGAGCTACAGCTTCTGTTACATCACATACTGACAAAAAGACAATAGGCCATAAATATGCCTGATGCTGCTCAATCTGTAAATCTACATGCACAATGGTTATTTGTAATCTGAGCCAGTAGGTTTGGAATCAAATGATTGCATTACTGGGCGAGGATGACAAGAGACCAACATACCATCTCTTCAATATAGAGCAAGGTTACCGGTAGACTTAACTGCACTAAATTGAATTTGAAAATAGATTTTACACACAGCAATGAGGTTGGTACAATAATTAGTGTACTGTAATATCAGGGTTGCCGACTTAAAATATATTTCCCTGAGATCACAAGACTGTCTACTTGAAAATCTTACCCGTCCTTGTCAAAAGTTGCCAGCCCAAATTATAGGGAATCAAAAAGTGATGATAAAACTCTTTTTCTGTTGTCTTTTACTTTGAACTTGAGTTAGGGTGGTCAGTTTAGTACAAAATAGACACCATGGCGATATGTATTGCAGAGTGCAGTCTATGACTTTAGCCACGGGTCCCAAGCCCTATCAGGTGAAGTGTCTTCTTGTCTAGTAGAACCTGCTTATGCTAGGCCACATGCTAAGACAAATCTACTGAAAATAATGCCAAAGTACAGGTTCAGGCTAGTAGACTTTAATGTTTTTGGTAGACTGTAACTGGCAGAAAACTACAACCATCCACATGATGGGTAAACTTTGTATTTCACCTGTCCTTGGCGTAACTAACGCTCCATCCAACTCTGATATTATGATAACCCGAAATCAGTGAAGTGAACAAGGAAGAGTTGGACTTGATCCCTTAAAACTTAGTATCACAGCATTCAAAGGAAAACAATGCCACAACACTGAAGTTCCCCTGGACATGTCGTCACCAGTGTAAAATGTCAAAGACAGACGTCTAAAAGAAGTATTTTCTGCATGAATATAACAAATATCAAGTAATTAAAAACTGTAAAGAATGTTTCTTAATCTGCAACAATATTGAAATACAGTTGAACGAACCCCAGATAACTTTTTCGGGTCTCGACAAGTTCGGAACAAGGTTTTACTACATTGTATAACATTAATGGGATTTTGTTTGTTTGTTGTTTAACACTGCACTTAGCAATATTCCAGCTAAATGATGGAGGTCTTCTAATAATCGAGTCTGGACCAGACGATGCTGTGATAGACATCATGAGCATCGATCCATCCAATTGGGATACAATGACATGTATCAACCAAGTCAGCGAGCCTGACCACCTGATCCTGTTAGTTGCCTCTTATGACAAGCATAGTCGCCTTTTACGGCAGCATTGGTTGCTGAAGACCTATTCTAACCCGGATCTGCTTTATCAGGCTTGAAGTTTAAAACTCAGAAGGCATTTTTCGAGGACATATAAGGAGCTTATCCTCTTGACCAAATTACCATCGGTGGAAACTAGCTTGTCATGTTTCAGCGTCATTGATGAAGTGCTTTTTGTGGAGACATTAACAGAATGGTATATTAGGGGGGACGATAAATCGAAATATCGATATGAATTGCTATTGGTAAGCACTTAAAGTAAAAAAACGATTGTTAAATCAGCTTCTGATCAATACTATTGATTTCAGTCAGGAATATCAATAGTTTTGATTGTATTTACCATAGTTTTACAGTTTCAATAAAATACATGCAATGCTGTTCAAATTTGTTTTTCTTTTGATCATGAGTGGTAGCAATTTACACATGGTATTGTGGAAGATTCTTTCTTAAATTATTAGGGTAAAGAAAAAACAAATCAGTCATATCTCAAACTTTACTTTCTATATGTTGTTATGGTTATCACATTCAATTGAAACTTCGGTTCCAAGGTTTAATTCAACTCTAAAATCCATCTAAAATGATAAACTGAAAGCTATTAATATTTATCACAATAGTTGCTTGCAATATCAATGGTTATCGCAATAGTGATATCCAGACCAATAGTCACCCCTATGGGATATTCACCAAGAACCTCTACTAGTGATAACGAAAAGCAATACCCCCCCCCAATGTTTGAACGTCTTCTTGCCCTTGGGATACCTGTTACATTGACACAACTGGGCTGGGCTAGTGAGACAGTACTAACTTTCATCCCTGCGTTTACAGAACCTGACACCTGTGGACTGTAGCTCACCTGATACTCTGACAAGCAACTAGTTACAAGAATGAAATCATCACCCTTCTAAACAAGGTGCAATGATGTGTGGTTACCTTCAACACTATTAAAGAAATAAACAGCAAGTGGGAGTTGTTTATTGTACAATAAAACTCAGCAGGGAATATAAACCAAGAGGGGCGCAACCACTCCGTTTTTATGAGATATGAGTCTCTTTAAGGATGTTAATCAAATGTGCAAGCTGAATAAAGTTACCTTAGTTTTAATAATGATGATTCCCTGAACAGAATCCGACCTCAGCAATGTCGGACAAGTCCATTTTATGAACGGGTGGGTTATGTTTGATATTTCCTGTATGTTCTCACAATCCTCACATCGATTATCTGTTCCTTTTCTCCTAGTAATGATTGTCATATTTCTCCCACTCTTGGATACAATTGTTTAGCCCCTGTGTTTATCTGCGTACCCCAGCTACATCCATGGGGAACAACTTGCTAGACATTTCCCTCTCAAATATAACGTCGTCAAATATACTATGTCATCAATTGCGAGCATATGTTTGAATCGTCTGAAATAACGTCATGACGGAACAATGATTTATCGTGAAATAAACCATGCCTCGTTCTTAATTGTTCTTTGCAATTTACCACGTAGCTATCTTATATACAATATGATGAATAATTTACAGTAGTGTTGTTACCTTGTTCCCCAAAAATATCACATGAAATCCATTCCCAACTTGTGTGAACGGCTGTCCCACATACCTCAGAGAAGAGAGAGTTGCCCTTGGAGTCGTGGCTGCTAGCCTCCATCCTCAGAGCTTCCAGCTGGGCCTTCAAGTCCAGGATCTCCACATGGAACCTCTGCAAAACCAAACATGATGAACCATCCTTCTTTGTACACTCCTGGTGACAATCTGTGAGCCACTGCAAAGCATGTTCTCATGTGGCCAGTACAGCCTGACACAATCAAGACTTCTATTGGCATAACACCACAGGACAACTCACCACCAAAGCTTTGCTCCAGTGCCAGTGACAACACCCTCTCCGTCTCTCCTCACTGACTTAGCACAGTATTGAGGGGACCAATTTTCCAACTCAGTCTTGACAAGCGTTTCTTAGATAAGCATGCAGACTTTCATTCATGTTACTTCAGCAGTTTCTGAGAAAACTTGTCAACATTTTACGCAGAATGCACTAAGCTGAAGCAAGGGCCATAACTCTGCAAAAATGAATTTACAACACCAATTTTCGAATTCATTTGAGATCATGACCGGTAACATCAGTGTGTAAACTTCCTTTCTTGGATTTACATAATTCTTGAGAAAATTTGTCCCCTTTGAGAAGCAAACTTCGTGGCAGGGATCATTAGACAGGATACATTCAAAAACAGAAGCAGCCCCATCCCCACCCTTTCCCCCAATGCCCCCAAACATTCCCACCAGAAACATGTTCCACAGCCAATTATGACTGCACCAAATCAGGGGACAGCTGACCTCACCAACATCTGGCAATATTGATCTTTCCTCCCAATATTGTTAAATGCAGTACACCTGAGTCCTGTGCCTCCAGCTTCCCTAAAATAAGCACTTCTAGTTTTATGGCATTATTTCTGGTTTGGAAAAACATATGCCCACACGCAAGACAACAGTCCGAAGTTTCTAGCAACCTTCATATGGAAGCATATGCCTTTCAAGGTTAAAAAACTTGACCCTCAATTTCATATGCTGGATTCTTTCTTGTTGAAGACAAAAGTAAAAGCTCCAACAAACATGACATACAAACACAGGCGCTGGTTGAGGACATTCCAGTGACCTTGCCTTCAATCAAGTTGCTGAAAACCTTACCACTTCAATGCCCTACCTTAAGACATGTACCAAATTACATGCTTGAATATTGCTGATTGTGGAATGTTACGCACTCAATTACTATCAATAATATGGATAATATTTTCACTGAGAGTTCTGAACATTAATAGGCCTAAGTTAGCCCCGGTGCCATACAGTGTAGTCTGTGAGAGAGGACACACGTGACGCCTGCTCACCTCCTGGTTGTTGCAGTATGAAGTCACTTGACACTGCAGATCCTCAATTTCCTCGTCCTTGCTGCACAGATGAGACCGGAGTAGTTCTCGCTCCTCTTTGTAATGTCTCAGTTCCGCTTCAATCTCAATCATCTGGGTCTTCAAGGCTGTCTGAGACACACAAAAAGCATAGAGCTTTATTTACCATTGAAACTAAACATGCCTTGCTTAAGACTTAGGAAATTTTCAAGTGATTAACATGTGTTTTGAAATTTGAGGTAGTCTACTGTAGGCATCTTCCCGAGGCAGGGGAGTTAACTGACTACAAAATTCCAGTTTCCACACTTGCTGAACTATGCTGGAATCAATAGTAGTGCCACCATGGTTATTATGAGTCATGTCCCTTCAATGTCCCTCCTATTGGCCAATCAGATTCCACCTCTCATCTCACTTGCATTTGCTTCAAACAAAATGGCGGCGCCCAGTCAAGACGATCTGATTGATAATCAAGATTGGTGTTTTAATAAAACAGGTCTTACCTCGTGAGGTGCATCAAATCATTTGAGCACCTTGACTAAAAACATGTAAAGATTTGCAAATATCTGTCTACGCCCAGTTGACAGTACACATGCTTAGCAAATCCAGTAGTGGACGGAAATCTGCATGCTGAAATCCATGTATTTACGAACCGGATGTCTAGTTCGTTGCGCGATTTTGATTGGACTATGCATAGACTCGTTAATCGGGCCAAACTGTAACTCTGGAATTCCAGCATAGTTCGGCAAGGATGGAAACTGGACTTTAACAGTCAGTTAACTCCCTTGCCTCGGGAAGATGAACTGTAGATTTCAATTGTATAAACAAGATGTATCTAATCTACAGTAGGTTCATCTCCATTCTCCACAATAACATGAGCGCTTTCAAATGTTGCCCTAATGAAAGGCATACTACTTAACACAAGGGCAAAAGGGCCAGCTATCTTAGAACATGCGAAAAAGAAGGGCATTTGGGGCTCCTGTCCTAGCTCCCTACCTTGTCATTCTACTGTGTGACTATCCCCATGTGGTGCCTGTCCTAGCTCCCTACCTTGTCATTCTACTGTGTGACTATCCCCATGTGGTGCCTGTCCTAGCTCCCTACCTTGTCATTCTACTGTGTGACTATCCCCATGTGGTGCCGCTCCCAACTCCCTACCTTGTCATGCTGCAGTGTGACTATCCCCATGTGGTGCCTGTCCTAGCTCTCTACCTTGTCATGCTGCAGTGTGACTATCCCCATGGGGTGCCTGTCCCAGCTCCCTACCTTGTCATTCTGCAGTGTGACTATCCCCATGTGGTGCTTGTCCCAACTCCCTACCTTGTCATTCTACAGTGTGACTATCCCCATGTGGTGCTTGTCCCAACTACCTTGTCATTCTACAGTGTGACTATCCCCATGGGGTGCCTGACCTAGCTCTCTACCTTGTCATTCTACTGTGTGACTATCCCCATGTGGTGCCTGTCCCAGCTCTCTACCGTGTCATTCTACTGTGTGACTATCCCCATGTGGTGCCTGTCCTAGCTCCCTACCTTGTCATTCTACTGTGTGACTATCCCCATGTGGTGCCGCTCCCAACTCCCTACCTTGTCATTCTACTGTGTGACTATCCCCATGTGGTGCCTGTCCTAGCTCCCTACCTTGTCATTCTGCAGTGTGACTATCCCCATGGGGTGCCTGTCCCAGCTCTCTACCTTGTCATTCTACTGTGTGACTATCCCCATGTGGTGCCTGTCCTAGCTCCCTACCTTGTCATTCTGCAGTGTGACTATCCCCATGTGGTGCCGCTCCCAACTCCCTACCTTGTCATTCTACTGTGTGACTATCCCCATGTGGTGCCTGTCCTAGCTCCCTACCTTGTCATTCTACTGTGTGACTATCCCCATGGGGTACCTCCCAAATCCCTACCTTGTCATTCTACAGTGTGACTATCCCCATGTGGTGCCTGTCCCAGCTCCCTACCTTGTCATTCTGCAGTGTGACTAACCCCATGGGGTGCCTTTCCCAGCTCCCTACCTTGTCATTCTACTGTGTGACTATCCCCATGTGGTGCTTGTCCCAACTCCCTACCTTGTCATTCTACAGTGTGACTATCCCCATGGGGTGCCTGTCCTAGCTCTCTACCTTGTCATTCTACTGTGTGACTATCCCCATGTGGTGCCTGTCCTAGCTCTCTACCTTGTCATTCTACTGTGTGACTATCCCCATGTGGTGCCTGTCCCAGCTCCCTACCTTGTCATTCTACTGTGTGACTATCCCCATGTGGTGCCTGTCCCAGCTCTCTACCTTGTCATTCTACTGTGTGACTATCCCCATGTGGTGCCTGTCCCAGCTCCCTACCTTGTCATTCTGCAGTGTGACTATCCCCATGGGGTGCCTGTCCTAGCTCTCTACCTTGTCATTCTGAAGTGTGACTATCCCCATGTGGTGCCTGTCCTAGCTCCCTACCTTGTCATTCTGCAGTGTGACTATCCCCATGGGGTGCCTGTCCTAGCTCCCTACCTTGTCATTTTACAGTGTGACTATCCCCATGTGGTGCCTGTCCCAGCTCCCTACCTTGTCATTCTACTGTGTGACTATCCCCATGTGGTGCCTGTCCTAGCTCCCTACCTTGTCATTCTGCAGTGTGACTATCCCCATGTGGTGCCTGTCCTAGCTCCCTACCTTGTCATGCTACAGTGTGACTATCCCCATGTGGTGCCGCTCCCAACTCCCTACCTTGTCATTCTGCAGTGTGACTATCCCCATGGGGTGCCTGTCCCAGCTCCATACCTTGTCATTCTGCAGTGTGACTATCCCCATGTGGTGCCTGTCCTAGCTCCCTACCTTGTCATTCTACAGTGTGACTATCCCCATGTGGTGCTTGTCCCAACTCCCTACCTTGTCATTCTACAGTGTGACTATCCCCATGGGGTGCCTGTCCTAGCTCTCTACCTTGTCATTCTACTGTGTGACTATCCCCATGTGGTGCCTGTCCTAGCTCCCTACCTTGTCATTCTACAGTGTGACTATCCCCATGTGGTGCCTGTCCCAGCTCCCTACCTTGTCATTCTACTGTGTGACTATCCCCATGTGGTGCCTGTCCTAGCTCTCTTACTTGTCATTCTACTGTGTGACTATCCCCATGTGGTGCCTGTCCCAGCTCCCTACCTTGTCATTCTACTGTGTTACTATCCCCATGTGGTGCCTGTCCTAGCTCCCTACCTTGTCATTCTGCATTGTGACTATCCCCATGTGGTGCCTGTCCTAGCTCCCTACCTTGTCATTCTGCAGTGTGACTATCCCCATGTGGTGCCTGTCCTAGCTCCCTACCTTGTCATTCTGCAGTGTGACTATCCCAATGCGGTGCCTGTCCTAGCTCCCTACCTTGTCATTCTGCAGTGTGACTATCCCCATGCGGTGCCTGTCCTAGCTCCCTACCTTGTCATTCTACAGTGTGACTATCCCCATGTGGTGCCTGTCCCAGCTCTCTACCTTGTCATTGTACAGTGACTATCCCCATGTGGTGCCTGTCCCAGCTCCCTACCTTGTCATTCTACTGTGTGACTATCCCCATGTGGTGCCTGTCCTAGCTCCCTACCTGTTCATTCTGCAGTGTGACTATCCCCATGTGGTGCCTGTCCTAGCTCCCTACCTTGTCAGTCTACTTTGTGACTATCCCCATGTGGTGCCTGTCCTAGCTCCCTACCTTGTCATTCTGCAGTGTGACTATCCCCATGTGGTGCCTGTCCTAGCTCCCTACCTTGTCATTCTACTTTGTGACTATCCCCATGTGGTGCCTGTCCTAGCTCCCTACCTTGTCATTCTGCAGTGTGACTATCTCTTGCTGTGCCTGTCCCAGCTCCCTACCTTGTCATTCTGCAGTGTGACTATCCCCATGTGGTGCCTGTCCTAGCTCCCTACCTTGTCATTCTACTTTGTGACTATCCCCATGTGGTGCCTGTCCTAGCTCCCTACCTTGTCATTCTGCAGTGTGACTATCCCCATGTGGTGCCTGTCCTAGCTCCCTACCTTGTCATTCTACTTTGTGACTATCCCCATGTGGTGCCTGTCCTAGCTCCCTACCTTGTCATTCTGCAGTGTGACTATCCCCATGTGGTGCCTGTCCTAGCTCCCTACCTTGTCATTCTACTTTGTGACTATCCCCATGTGGTGCCTGTCCTAGCTCCCTACCTTGTCATTCTACTTTGTGACTATCCCCATGTGGTGCCTGTCCTAGCTCCCTACCTTGTCATTCTGCAGTGTGACTATCTCTTGCTGAGCCTGTCCCAGTTCCTCGCTGTAGAAGGACCGGGAGATGTTGGTCGTCTCATTCATCTGCTCCTTCACCAGATCCTCAAGCTGCTTCACATGCTCTCTCAACTGACGCTCGGCATTCTGGGACAACTCAAGGTCTGCCTGAAGATGGCTTATCTGTAACCATGACAACAAATAGTTAAAATGGCTTTTCAATTTAGCTGGAAGTTCCACACTAAGCACCACGCCTCCACTACAATTTTATAATTAACAATGACAACTGAACTCTACTGTGAAGCATACATGTATTGTACGACCAACATCAGCAATGACAACTGAACTCTATTATGAAGCATACATGTAGGGTACAACCTGTTTTCTAAACTGTCCAGCTTCCTGGTGAAGCTTTGCTTCAAGTTCGTCAGTGATTCTCTCCCTTTGAACTGCCATCTCCTGTTTGAGAGACGTGATCTCTTCATTGTACCACTTCTCCAGACTGGCTTTCTGGTCGTACTTCATCTGAAGACTATACAGCTCCTGCTCCTTGGCCTGAACACACAAGACAACAGACATGGTCAAACGTCATCATAACTCATGTTAACAACATCAGTACTTTAACTTCAATCATTTTCTTTCTTTTGTGCTGCAGTCAACAATATTCCAGCTGTATCACGGCAAGAAAACAGATAGGGCAAGGCAACGGCACTGGCTTGTAGCATCATCAACCAGGCTGTTCATGTTCAATAACACACAATCCGTCTGGTCATGCTACAATACACAAGGAATCGGAAACATAAAACGGTGAGTATGTAACCCAGTACTAAGAGACAACACGATAGTGAGTGAGTGAGTGAGTTGGGTTTAACGCCGCTTTTAACAGTATTCAAGTTATATCGAGGCGTGTCAGCTTCATGTGGGAGGAAAGCACGAAGTGATGCAGGTCTCAAACGTTTACCACTTTGGTGAAACCCACGAGCACGGGTATGGTGCTGACAAACCTAGAAACATAATCGGGGTGAACCAGGATTCAAGCCCATAATCATAGGTTTCTGGCGTGCCCAAGGGATGCAAATCTGCATAGTGAATCGCAGCGCCTTAGACGACTGGGCCACCAGTGCCCCCCGACAATATGATAAAGATGAGAGCATACTGCTGAAAACATGGAAACAGAAGCAATAAAACAGACCGCAACCTCCCAAACTAGGCATGCACAGAACAAGAAGGAAGTTGTCAGGAGGATCAACAAACAGTTAATATATATACATCTTACAGCACTAATATAGAAAAGTCTACATGTGTATTAATATATTAGTGCTGTACTATGTATATTCACTCGCTGTTTGTTGATCCTCGCGACATGACGGTCAACTTCCTTCCTGTTCTGTGCATGACTTGTTTGAAAGGCTGTGGTTTGTGTGTTTCAGTGCAGCCGTTTCCATGGTTTCAGCAGCTTTATCTCATCTGTATATTGTTGTTTCCTATTTTGGGTTACATAATCTGATTGCTTGTGTATTGTAGACATATAACAGTTTTCTTACTGCAGTCTGTCAGTTTTCATAGTACGATTGAAACTTAAGTCACCAAAATCAGCCTTTCATGCAGAATTGTTTTTAAAAAAGGTCTATACACCAGTTAACAAATTGCCAGTACACTGACCCAAGGAAATAAAAGCATTGAATACCTAAAAGAAAACTACAGTAAACTGCATTCATAATGAACACGCTTATAATGAACTGACGGACATAATTGTTTTTGGCTCCCCTCTAATTGCTGTACATTTTATCATGTAACACGCAAAAACAACATAGCGGATATAGCGAACTTACTTTGTAGTCCTGGCATACTGTCAACGACAATCTTTATGTTTATAACGAACTGTTAATTTCAGAGATGGTCACGTGCTACTAATCAGCCTATCAAAACAGCTGTGGCCATGCGCAGCAAAACAAAGGGGCAGTAAAGAGTGAGTGAGTGAGTGAGTGAGTGAGTGAGTGAGTGAGTGAGTGAGTGAATGAGTGAGTGAGTGAGGTTTTTACGCTGCTTTAAGCAATATTCAAGCAATATCACGGCAGGGGACACCAGAAATGGGCTTCACACATTGTACCCATGTCAGGATTAGAACCTGGGTTTTCGGTGTGACAAGTGAATGCTTTAACCACAAGGCTACCCTACCACCCAAGCAGTAAAGAATTGAAGGCAAGTGATTAACTGGATTTAGTACTGGCACCTTCTCAATTTACACCCTCAGTTAACGATTTTTTTTACTTATCTTGCATTACTCCTTAAGGCATCTGTATCGGACAGTTTGGAGGTGGGTAAACCTTCAGAAATACAGAAAAACCTCAATAATTCACACCCTGAAAACACGACCCAAGTTGGTCGATAAAACATGAAGCGGAATAGTTCAGAAAAACGCCATTATGGTACGCCTTTGACATCCTTGAGAGCCACAATGCTAAGATAATGACTAGCGAAAAATTGTGTCAGACCTCCAAAAACATTCTTCCATAGTTGTTCTAATAGAACAGTTGCTGTGTAAAGCCATGGTAGAGGCTAGCGCCCTGATCTCATGAGGGTTATTCGCTCTCTGGGGATCCAGTTTGGCGATCTCGTAAGCCGGAAGCATGAATCGGCGTAACCATAGGGATATGGTGTTGCGACTTACTTCCGACGTTGACGTAGGAGACACGGGTATAAATCACCACTCCTCGAACCAATCCTAGTCTTGGAGCGGCGGATGAAAACTCAAAGTGCTCGCACTGGGCAAAGGAGAAGTTCACCCTTACCTTCAGCCCCCACAATTGTTGATATTGGTGGGATGGCTCAAAGCATACCTGGGTGATGTCGATCGCATGTAGCTCGCTCACCCGTGCCGCCGTGGCTAAAGCCAAGAAAAATATTGTTTTCTTGGTGAGGTCATAAAACGAGGATGCATAGAGAGGCTCGAAGGAGGGCCCTCGCAAACCTCAAAGTAGGACATTCAAATCCCAAGCAGGTGAGCGGAACATGGTCTTCTGATCCTCAAACCTGAATGAACGTAGAAGGGCCTGTAGTCCCCAGACCTGTAGTCCCCATCTTTCGATTTTCCGGAACAGCCAACACTGTGTTAAGTGCAACCAAATACATAGTAATGGTGATACCTTTCTATGGGTACGCAGATGTAGCAGGTATTTGGCTAGGAATTGTGGTGACACAGTAGTAGGGCGGTGAACCCGTATACCACCTAAGCCTGGGGATCTGGTAACAGGGAGACGTACGTCATGAGTTGGTGGTGCATCCTGCAAGTCGAGATTGATCAAGGAATCGACCACCTTTATGCTGGTTCTGAGCAGTCTCAACGTGGTGAGGTGGAAGTTGAGTGGACGCTTCAAGTAATGTTCGTTGAAGACAGAGAGATTGTGAATCATTCTCATCTTGTCCTTCTTGGGTACCAGCCCGGTGTTATAATTGCCTGACTTGCCTGCTCACTGGGATAGACTGTGAGAGACATGCTCTAAAGCCTTAAGCGCTGTCTAATCTCGAGCGTAACTAGAAACTTTGGCATACATGTCTGTCATCTGTTCATTAAACAGAGAAGTAGATGACCAGGGTTGCCGTAGCAGCCTGGGCTTGAACTCAGAATCCCAGGTAGATGTGGTGTCCTTTTTATCCACCCTGTTACCAGGGGAAGGCACTGATATGAGACGGTCCGCTACCCAATGGGGTACTTGCACTTAGCTGAGGTGTGTATTCCATTCTACCAAGGAATCCCCATCTTCGCCAATGAAGAGTATGACAATCAAAACGGTGTTGACGTGTTTGTCTAGACAGTGATCGGCTTCTGCTCCAGTGCGTAGCGCTACCTCTGACAGAGGGCATGGATGAACCACCTAGTGATAGGGAGTCATGCGTCGATGTAGCATAGTATATAGCAATGAATGCACTGTACTATGACGTGCAATAGGCGTACTGTAGACATTAGGTGCCGGGGTAGGCGCTAAGCCCCTTGCCATGGGTGTAACTGACACAGGCACTGATACATAGGCATGGGCATGGGCGCAGGATACAGGTGTGCCATAACCTGCTGCCACATGGACTGCATGGAGTTTTGCATTCAATTAGTGTCCTGGAACGGTATTGATGCTTGAGTAACATCTGCTGCGCTGGATAAGTTGTTGGGACAGTGCTTAGCTGACCATGCATTGCCTGCGTAACATTGCACGCTGTAAGCCCTGGGGCTGATGTTATTGTAGCGGCGCCTGTTTAGTAGATAGTCTCAGCGCTTGGCGCTGGTCCGAGACACAAAGCTCATTGGTGCTGACTTGATTATGGCCTGCGCCTGAGCTACTCCCATCTGAGCAATTACGATACGCACAATATCCTCCAGTATTGTTGATTTCGGCATGGGATGCACTTTTGCAGTCACAGTGATGGGAGCCTTATTGCCCACCGATTACAATGGCTGCGTGGTAATGACAGAACCACGTCTGTCGCTATCTAAAGATAATTAGTTTGTGAGTAACCTGCCTATATATTGTAAAACTCGCTGGAGAGAGATTTACACAAAATTTACATTCAGAATTTGGTGAAAAGAAAAAACAAATCAGTCATATCTCAAACTTTACTTTTTATTTGTTGTTATAGTTATCATATTCAAAGGAAACTTCAGTTCCAATTTTTAATTCAACACTAAAATCCATCTAAAATACACTGAAAACTATCGATATTTATCGCAATAGTTGCTTGCAATATCAATAGTTATCGCAATAGTGATTTCCAGACCAATAGTCACCCCTAGTAGTGAGTGAGTGAGTGAGTTGGGTTTAACGCCGCTTTTAACATTATTCCAGTTATGTCGCGGCGCATCAGCTTAATGTGGGAAGAAAGCCCGAAGTGATGCAGGTCTCAGACGTTTGCCACTTCGGTGAAACCCACGAGCACGGGTATGGTGCTGACAAACCTTGAAACATAATCGGGGCGAACCGGGATTCGAACCCACAATCATAGGTTTCTGGCGCGCCCAAGGGATGCGACTCTGCACAGCGAATCGCGGCGCCTTAAACGACTGGACCACCAGTGCCCCCAGTCCCCCCTAGTAAGTACTCAATGGTGCAAATCATGTATCAGTAGCCATGAGACAACCATCCTCTCTATCTCCAGGGTTTGCATTTCGGTAAAACGTACAACCTATCGCAAATTTCCCACCCTTGATTTACATTAACACTTGACTGACCAATCAAATGTCGGGATAAGGGAAAGGGAGGTAACTCGTATTACCTAGAAACCAAAGCCACTGCCAGTTTTAATGGACATGAAGACATCCTTTCCCCAAAAATATTTATGTATTTTTTAGGGCTTTATTTTGCATGTCAGTCACTTTTTCAATGTTGAAGTTTTCGCAAACTTGATCATAATCAATAGGACTGGCCCCATGTTGTTGATATCGCCAACCCAACATTGAGACTGGTTTGTAACTCGCATTATGATTGGAACGTTAGACCTAGCAGCGTAGCCAATCAAATTGGCAACTGGTAATCAAGGGTGGGAGATCGGAGATTGCAAGAACTACGGGGATGGATCCAGAGGCTCGTGTAGGTTTAGCGAACTGCGAGCCCTGGAGGTATAGAGGTTGCAAGACAACCATCAAGGTGTGACCATACCTCCACTTTCTTGGAATAGTTCTTAGCAACATCTTCAATTTGCTCCTTCAGCTGTGAGTTTTCTTCCAGGAGAGCCTTCCCAATTTCTACAGCTTTCATCAAGTTGCCATCTTTCTGGGCCAGCTCCTCCTTGAGGATGGAAACATCACTGTCTCCCATTGTGTGTCAGTCTGAAAACAGGGCAACGGAAAGTGTCAGTTAAAGAAATGAAAACAGCTGGAAGTCATGGAGAGAGCAATTAAGAAGAGACGCAGATTACATTAGGAAGGATAATTTGTTGTTCAATGCTGCACTCAGCAATACTCCAGGGATGTGATGGCGGTCTGTTAATAATTGAGACTGGATCAGACAATCCAGTGATTGACATCCTGAGCATCTTCGCAATTGGGATACGATGACATGCATCAACCAAGTCAGCGAGTCTGACCACCAGATCTCGCTGTCACCTCTTTCAACAAGAATTAGCTGCTGAAGACACACTCTTATCCTGGTCTCCACGGGTAGGAATGATGGTACCTCTATGGTTTTCTTGGCACATTCTGATCCAGGAATGTCATTCCATACACCTTGTTAGTTTGATTTCATCTACAAAAATACGGTACTTTTCCCCTAATCTTGTCAAGCTCAAGCAAACAAACTCAATGTCACTAAGTGCACATATATTTTGAAAAGCTCCTTACAGTGACATGTAGCATCCTACTCTGTCTATTCCAATACCATAAGGAAGGTGCTACATGCTGCTAGGAGATCATCTGTTATATCTGCTATTGCTGTTTACTTGGTCCTGCTGTACTTGGATACCTTAATGATAACACCCTTCTATTTATAAATCTTTCTCTCAAAACATTTGGTCTGTTTTGTTTAACATAAAATTGGATTCTTTAGCCTAAAATTGTCTTTTTACTTTGCATGAAGACAAGAAGAGTAATGGAGTTGCTAGGATTGAATTTTACGCAACTTGTGCAGCATTTACATGGGAACAAACTGGAGTACAGGGGAAGCTATGACTTGTACTTCTGTGCAAACATCTGAGGGTCACTGAGCAAACATCTGAGGGTCACTAAGGAAACATCTGAGGGTCATGGAGCAAACATCTGAGGGTTATTGAGTAAACATCTGAGGGTCATGGAGCAAACATCTGAGGGTCATTGAGCAAACATCTGAGGGTCATGGAGCAAACAACTGAGGGTCATTGAGTAAACATCTGAGGGTTATTGAGTAAACATCTGAGGGTCATGGAGCAAACATCTGAGGGTCATTGAGCAAACATCTGAGGGTGATGGAGCAAACATCTGAGGGTTATTGAGTAAACATCTGAGGGTCATGGAGTAAACATCTGAGGGTCACTGAGCAAACATCTGAGGGTCATGGAGCAAACATCTGAGGGTCTTTAAGCAAACATCTGAGGGTCATGGAGCAAACATCTGAGGGTCATGGAGCAAACATCTGAGGGTCATTAAGCAAACATGTGAAGGTCATATAGCATATACCACTTATCTTAGTCAGGTAGGCAAACAATTTATGATTTCTTATGCTAATCGGCATGTCTATCAAGCAGAAAGCCGTTACATTTGCAAACTGATGCAAGAATTAAGGATATCATTTTCAAGCAGTGACATTACCATGATTACCCACCATCATGCACATGATATAACATTCTATGCATATCACATGCATAATGCATCACAAATTACACATTGAATAAATAGTCTAAATAATCTGGTACGAGTTGGAAACATTTCATTTTTTGAGCAGATCAAAAATCTGGTGTTTCAGAAAGAGATTTCACCTTGTCAGTCCATTGTTTAATCTACATACGTCTCAGTGTGAGTGAGTTGGATTTCATGCCGCTTCCGTATTCCACTTATATCATGACGTGTCAGCTTAGTGAGTGTGAGGTAAGCCGTAAGTGATGCAGTTCTCAGATGTATGATGCTGACAACCCTTGAAACATAATCGGGGAGAACCATGATTCGAACCACGATCATAGGTTTCGTGCATACCTATGCAAATACAACTTGACACAGCGAATTATGGCTCCTTAGACGACTAGGCCAACCTGGCCCCCATCTCGGTGTGTTCATGTATCATTCCTTTTCCTCTATAATGAATCTTGTAATTTCATTGCTTAATCCATATGATGTGACGAAACAATACATCTCAAAGTTGACCCCCAAATCATGGAACTGACACTGACCTCGAATATTGACTCGTCTCATGATCAGTATTGACCTGTCACGTGATGAATATTGACTCGTCTGCTAGAAAACAAGATGGCGTCTGGGAGTAACTTTTTATGGTTCACAGGTAAGTTACTGTAATGAAACTATGGACGGTTAAAGATTTCATAAACTTCTCGGTATTACAAAACAAATGATTACTCTTCTTCACTTTATTCAGTACTTGTAGTCCAGGGGCCTTTTTGTACAAACGAATGCAATTTAGGTGCAAATAGTATAAAATATAACACATTTCTTTGCTTTTTTAAACAAAAGCAGTTTTAACATAATTGCATATTATCAAAGTTGGAGTATTTGTGTTCTTACAGCATTGAATGGGATAAAACAAGTGTTTTGCTGTATTCATATCGTAATAGGGGCGTGCGATGTTTTAAACTTCAGAATATTTGGAAAGATATACAATTCAGATTTTATGTAACTTTGCCTAAGATGGCTATAGTATAAGCTGGGCAAATTAAAAAAAAGTGAAATTCATTTTCTATATGGTTTAAGTTACCAACTTTACATTTTCTAAATTCACGAGGAATATTATCATGATTATAATGTCGTCCACATTCAATTTCTAAATTGTGAGAACTAAGCCGAAAACGAGTCAACATGGTCCTGAATTTATTAACAGTAACACAACTAAAATAGTTCTCACATAAAATGGATGTGTTAATCTGTGCATAATAAGCCATTTTGGGGCTTTTGGATAGATCGCTATGCCAAACCTGAAAAAGTTTTAACTGTTGACGTAACATATTTAAAAATACGGTTTTATGACCACATGTTTGAAAGTACCAGACATCACCAAATCCTAATCTAACAATAACAGTTTAAGTTTCATTTCCCAATTTAAGTGGCAATGTTCATCGTACAACCAAAATATGCGAAAACAACCTGAGGAACCAACCCCTTCCGCAATCTGACCTGACCTCAGCTTTTCATTATGCCTTTGTAGAGTGATTTCTGACATGTGCTTCTGAGATTTGTGTTAAGCAATATTCAGGATTTAGGATGAGTGAGTGAGTTGGGTCAATGCCGCTTTTACCAGTATTCCGGCGTGTCAGCTTATGTAAGAGGAAAGCCCCAAGTGATGCAGGTCATAGGTTTCTGGCATGCCAAAGGGACGCAAATGTGCACAGAGAATCGCAGCCCCTTAGACGACTTGGCCATCCGTGCCCCCGGATTTAGGATGAGCAAAGACTCAGAGTGAAATATTGACATTCGGGATTGAGAGAAGAGGGTTTGGGGCACCCTCTTGTGTGGCATGACCCAAGTGGGAATGGTGAGGTGAATGTTGTTGAATGCCACAGCAAGCAATATTCAAGCTATATCATGGTGAGCTATAAACATTCCTGCCCAGCCAGCGACTGAATGTATCACCAACCATCCTAACCTGTGGCCGGCCATGAAGTGGGTTAAACGAAAACACATGCATTAATGTCATCATAAACATTATTGTTTAATCTACCAGACCAAAACAAATAACCAGAGAATGACAGCCTTTTTCCGATGTTCACCACTTTGGTGAGTCCCAAAAGCACTGGTATGGTGCTGACAAACCAAGCATCACAACAAGGCAAAGTGGAACTCAATCCTGGCACAACCAAGGGAGGCAACTCTGTAACACATCAGACTGGGCCACAAAAGCCCTCACCATCCTAGTGGAGAGCTTAAATACAATTCAGTGCACTTAAGGATGGTGCTATTGCTAACCTCTTTCCTTACACAATATGACTAACTCCTTCATTTCTGAGGAGAAGGGAATGGAGCCATATTTGACAAAACAATGTAGCTGAGTTGCCTTTTGCTGTTGTCATGTAGATTTATACAGTTTGTTTTCTTTTAATTGCACCCTCAGCAATAATCAGTCTATATCAGGGCAATCTGTAAATAATTTAGTTTGGACTAGACAATCCAGTGATTGACATCATGAGCATCAATTAAGGCAACTGGCACACAATGACCATGATGACATTCATCAACCAAGTCAGTGAGGCTGATCATCCGATCCCGTGAGTTGTCTTTTAGACAGTTAACCAGACCAGTGACAAGTCAGCCTGTCAAAGATTACAACTCGTTCCACAAATTTGAAAACAAGAATGGTCTTAGGTGACCTTTAGGGAACAGTTCAAAAGTTTAATTCTGAAAATGTTGAATTCCCAGAGTTTATTGGCCTCTTTCATGGATTCTTGTGGTTTGTCTTGCTTTATCAGAATGTTTTTAGGTGGAGTTTATTTTCTAGGTGTTAAAAATCATTTGTAGGATTTTATAGATCAAATCTATATCAAATCTGTATTACGCACTGCACTAGATGAACTGACTCCTATAGCCGGCAGCGATAAAACCCCACCTGGTGGAGGACAGGATGCATTTAATGACAACTACTAACTGCATATTATTGAAATATAGGATCGGTTCAGATTAGTTACTACATGTACCCATATAAAACATTGAGAAATCGAGTAAGTTGATTCTGTCATATGGAAAACTTGCAGGGCCATTAACAGGATGTAGTTAAAATGGACACACCGCATTCGATGTAATCAGCGCCCCGCTCTAATAAGCACCCACGGCGATATTTGCAAATGTATTGGCAAGTGAACAATCCCAATTAGCACCCCTTCCGATTGATCAATGTACACAAGACTTATTTATTCGTGTTTAATACGCACTTGTGTGTTATAAGTATCCTTAATTATTGGAAATTAAATTCTAGAAAAATATATCTGTCGTATATAAACATTTCAGGTAGTCAGCACAAACCACAAAATTTACGATCTTTCAAATCAGTTTTTTTTTTCACCCAAATAATATTCTAATAAAAGTCCCCTATTTCTAAGTTTAAGAGTGCCCTGGGCGCTTATTACGTTGAATACTTTTCGGTAATGGCTTTTCGGGTGGCCATTCTAACTTTACCTTTTGATGCCATTCTGACATGAGGCTGTTTTGACACGCACACACGCACACACGCACGCCTCCACGCACGCACCCACACACACACACACCAAAAAAGTTTTCAGAAATTAAGAGTTTTATCCGACAGAACTTTTGAACTGGTCCCTTAGCATGATGAGTGTACATGGAGGGATGACACTACCCATGGCCTAATGGCCTGAACTAAAACAAAAAACATATCACTATCTTTGAACAAAATGTTAAAATTTGCATTTCAGTTAACCTGTAGTCAACTGTCCCATCAGTTATCGTGGACGCTGTGTGATACAGTCAGCAGCCTAACTGCTAACATTGATTACTCATTAGCAATAATCCAAGCTAAAATGCCAGCATTGTCACTTGTGAATAACTTTACATATTTAAGAGAACAGGCCCGTACACTAAAAAAATCAATGGATATTTTTTCCATCCATACAACAGATGTGGCGAAGACAAAGAGAGTTACACAATATGAAATTATCAATAATCTCTTAAACACGAGGCTATGTGCATAATAAGAAATAAATCTCTATACAATTTCAAATCCTCCTTCACATGGATGAGTGTGCTGGGTGTGACATTTCTTTCAGTGATCTTCATAAATGCCACATAGGCTGATAAAATATATATATATATATGTAGCAACTTCTACGTGACAAGACCTAAGTTTAGTCCCACTGTGACTCGTTAAGTTTAAATTAAATTAACACACATAAATTGCAGCATCACAGGCCTCATGGGTATAACACTTTTTTGAGGATATTTGCCTAGCATGTGTAGGGGTATCAGGGCTCGATTTAGCTATATAAAACATGCACCAGTGCAACCTATTATTGATAAATGCAACCTAATATTTACGTCTACCTGCACAAGGTGGATGTCCGAAAAATACAATTACTATGTCATTGTGTTGTCAGTTTCGTGACACATGACAGTCATCGGAGATGTAAGATCTTTCTTATTTAGACTCGCTTATGCATCTGTGTTTCAACTTTGATAAGTTTATGGCACCAGGATCCAAACATTCAGTCAACTATCGCAACTAGCGTTTCATGTCAACATGCACCTTGCAATTGTGGAGGTGAAATCAAGTTCCTTAAATCGTGCCCTGGGTAGGTCTCATCACCCTATAAACATAAAATCAATGTTTTTCACCTTTACAATAATTCCACTTCCATGCTTTTGATGAGCTCCAAACTCATTATAACACAACAAAACAGTGCCTTGCAATTTTTGACACTGACCAATATTTGTCAGTGGTCGAAAGGACCAGCACATAGAAGAATCTTGACTGTTGGATTTCTACTGGACACAATGGTGCTGACCAAAAATGACCCAAAAATGTTTTAAATGGTATTACTTCATTCTAATTCAACAATCTCTGTGTCTTCCAAATGCCAGTAATAAAAGACAAGTTAATGCTGGTTAACTTCAGAGGTTCAAATAACAAATCAGAGTGCGTAATTAGATCGAGAGACCAGTCAAGGGACCACTGTACCACACAGGGTTGTTTAGGCTGCTGGTCTTGTTTAGAGTTTAGTGTCGATCTATTGATGATTTAAAAAAACTGTACAAACTTAAATTACTTTGTTATTTTCCAAAATAACAATAGACCACTGGACCATCATTTATTTAATGTTACTGTTCCTTTAATAAATACACTAGACTTGGACCAGCAGACCAGTATTAGTGATATAGCTGCCTGCTCGCTATCCCCTGGCTGGAAACATTCTTTTTGGGACAGGTGAAGTTTATTCCTACCTGTGCGACTGTCAAGTAGAAAATTCAAATGCTACACTGACAATAAATTGATTTTTGACCGAAACAGTGATATGTTACTCACTTACCTGAGACTAAGAGCTACCTTTGTGATTCTAGAGATGTAGATGTCAAATCACAGAGCGAAGTAAATCTGAGAAAAACGATAATCATGATTATGAGTATCTACTCTGTCATATATTGACAAATGCAGCTTATAACATTCAAGACAGGCAACGTATATTAATGAGTCACCATCCCGGCTTGTTTTCAGACACTGCACCAAAACATTTTCAAATAGGTAAATGATTTTCAAAACCACCATTTTCAAAACAGACAACATGAAAATACAAGTTGAAAGCTTTGTATGAGCTGAAGACTCGTTAGGTTTAACTCAAGTCATTCAGTGATGAATCTGAAAACTGCAGCATCCTCTTGTCAATGGAAATTAAACATTTATGCAAAATAAGGATATTTAGCAGCATCTATTGTAATCAATACACTAAAACACTTAGTTCTTGCTAAATATTGATGTAAATATAGGCATTAAGCTGTAGCTGCTGAACCAAAAAAAACAATAAAATATCACTGAGGGGAAGTTAGCTCACCTGGTATGAATAAGCAAATGTTTGGCTAAACACATAGGCATGATCATTTTTCAACCAAATGAGCACGGTACTGGCGAGTACCGGACAGATATTTCAAACCAATAAGTACTGTACTGCTCGTTTGTAGACCTGATGAGTACTGGTATAACATTGGTAAGAACTTGTGTTGTACATTCATAGTTTGCTGCCAAACATAACTGACACGACAGTTTTCATCAGCACAATACACCAATACGGCATCTATCTGGAGCACTGATAAATCTTAATCCAGATGCCAAGTATGGACCAACTCAGGACCCATATATACACAAGAAGACCTTCCATTTGTTTAAATAATGGTTCATTTGATGACAGACCTATCAATATTCTGGCAAAGAAATTTTTTTTAACGTGTTCTGCAATAGCCAAAATTGACTGCCAAATATGACATGTAAAACAAACCTACATAAAGACTGATGCTGTTGGACATCATTCACACACAATTTAAGCTTTCTGGGTGATGTTGATTCAGAGAAATAAAGACTGGTGCTGGTGGACATCATTCACACACAATTCAAGCTTTCCGGGTGATGTTGATTCAGAGAAATAAAGACTGGTGCTGGTGGACATCATTCACACACAATTCAAGCTTTCCGGGTGATGTTGATTCAGAGAAATAAAGACTGGTGCTGGTGGACATCATTCACACACAATTCAAGCTTTCCGGGTGATGTTGATTCAGAGAAATAAAGACTGGTGCTGGTGGACATCATTCACACACAATTCAAACTTTCCGGGTGATGTTGATTCAGAGAAATAAAGCTTCAACACATTCAATGAATCTTAAAAACATTCATTAAATTGTGCAACTATACTTAGGAGATTAACCTATACTTTTGTCAAATTTTGATGTTGTTCCTCATTGATAAAACTCCACTAAATGTAAGACACTAAAGTAGCTTCCCTTGGATAAAGGGCAGTCACACTAATGGGCAGAGCCGAAAGAGACCAGTTTCCACAGTACATAAGCATGACTGTGCTTTGGTATTAAACACTGTGTAATACCAGTTCAATGTTATTTCAGAATAAAAGATAAGTGGGAGTATTTTTTAATCATACAATAAAACACTGCAGATAGAATAAACCGTGTTGATGTATTTGATATCAAAAGACACACAGGTGAGATTCTATATATCACTCTGAGGCTTGCCAAAAGACACACAGGTGAGATTCTATATATCACTCTGAGGCTTGCCAAAAGACACAAGGGTGAGATTCTATATATCACTCAGAGGCTTGCCAAAAGACACAAGGGTGAGATTCCCTATATAACTCTGAGGCTTGCCAAAAGACACAAGGGTGAGATTCTATATATCACTCTGAGGCTTGCCAAAAGACACACAGGTGAGATTCCCTATATAACTCTGAGGCTTGCCAAAAGACACAAGGGTGAGATTCCCTATATCACTCCGAGGCTTGCCAAAAGACACACAGGTGAGATTCTATATATCACTCTGAGGCTTGCCAAAAGACACAAGGGTGAGATTCTATATATCACTCCGAGGCTTGCCAAAAGACACACAAGTGAGATTCCCTATATAACTCTGAGGCTTGCCAAAAGACACAAGGGTGAGATTCCCTATATCACTCTGAGGCTTGCCAAAAGACACAAGGGTGAGATTCTATATATCACTCCAAGGCTTGCCAAAAGACACAAGGGTGAGATTCCCTATATCACTCCGAGGCTTGCCAAAAGACACACAGGTGAGATTCTATATATCACTCTGAGGCTTGCCAAAAGACACAAGGGTGAGATTCTATATATCACTCTGAGGCTTGCCAAAAGACACAAGGGTGAGATTCTATATATCACTCAGAGGCTTGCCAAAAGACACAAGGGTGAGATTCCCTATATCACTCTGAGGCTTGCCAAAAGACACAAGGGTGAGATTCTATATATCACTCTGAGGCTTGCCAAAAGACACAAGGGTGAGATTCCCTATATCACTCCGAGGCTTGCCAAAAGACACACAGGTGAGATTCTATATATCACTCTGAGGCTTGCCAAAAGACACAAGGGTGAGATTCTATATATCACTCTGAGGCTTGCCAAAAGACACAAGGGTGAGATTCCCTATATCACTCTGAGGCTTGCCAAAAGACACAAGGGTGAGATTCTATATATCACTCTGAGGCTTGCCAAAAGACACAAGGGTGAGATTCCCTATATCACTCCGAGGCTTGCCAAAAGACACACAGGTGAGATTCTATATATCACTCTGAGGCTTGCCAAAAGACACAAGGGTGAGATTCTATATATCACTCAGAGGCTTGCCAAAAGACACAAGGGTGAGATTCTATATATCACTCTGAGGCTTGCCAAAAGACACACAAGTGAGATTCTATATATCACTCTGTGGCTTGCCAAAAGACACACAAGTGAGATTCTATATATCACTCAGAGGCTTGCCAAAAGACACAAGGGTGAGATTCTATATATAACTCTGAGGCTTGCCAAAAGACACAAGGGTGAGATTCTATATATCACTCTGAGGCTTGCCAAAAGACACACAGGTGAGATTCCCTATATAACTCTGAGGCTTGCCAAAAGACACAAGGGTGAGATTCTATATATCACTCCGAGGCTTGCCAAAAGACACAAGGGTGAGATTCTATATATATCACTCTGAGGCTTGCCAAAAGACACAAGGGTGAGATTCTATATATCACTCTGAGGCTTGCCAAAAGACACACAAGTGAGATTCTATATATCACTCCGAGGCTTGCCAAAAGACACAAGGGTGAGATTCTATATATCACTCTGAGGCTTGCCAAAAGACACACAAGTGAGATTCTATATATCACTCCGAGGCTTGCCAAAAGACACAAGGGTGAGATTCTATATATCACTCTGAGGCTTGCCAAAAGACACAAGGGTGAGATTCTATATATCACTCTGAGGCTTGCCAAAAGACACACAGGTGAGATTCCCTATATAACTCTGAGGCTTGCCAAAAGACACAAGGGTGAGATTCTATATATCACTCTGAGGCTTGCCAAAAGACACAAGGGTGAGATTCCCTATATATCACTCTGAGGCTTGCCAAAAGACACAAGGGTGAGATTCTATATATCACTCTGAGGCTTGCCAAAAGACACACAAGTGAGATTCTATATATCACTCCGAGGCTTGCCAAAAGACACAAGGGTGAGATTCCATATATCACTCTGAGGCTTGCCAAAAGACACACAGGTGAGATTCCCTATATAACTCCGAGGCTTGCCAAAAGACACAAGGGTGAGATTCTATATATCACTCCAAGGCTTGCCAAAAGACACACAGGTGAGATTCTATATATCACTCTGAGGCTTGCCAAAAGACACAAGGGTGAGATTCTATATATCACTCTGAGGCTTGCCAAAAGACACACAAGTGAGATTCTATATATCACTCTGAGGCTTGCCAAAAGACACAAGGGTGAGATTCTATATATCACTCTGAGGCTTGCCAAAAGACACACAAGTGAGATTCTATATATCACTCCGAGGCTTGCCAAAAGACACAAGGGTGAGATTCTATATATCACTCTGAGGCTTGCCAAAAGACACAAGGGTGAGATTCTATATATCACTCTGAGGCTTGCCAAAAGACACACAAGTGAGATTCTATATATCACTCCGAGGCTTGCCAAAAGACACAAGGGTGAGATTCTATATATAACTCTGAGGCTTGCCAAAAGACACAAGGGTGAGATTCCCTATATCACTCCGAGGCTTGCCAAAAGACACACAGGTGAGATTCTATATATCACTCTGAGGCTTGCCAAAAGACACAAGGGTGAGATTCTATATATCACTCAGAGGCTTGCCAAAAGACACAAGGGTGAGATTCCCTATATAACTCTGAGGCTTGCCAAAAGACACAAGGGTGAGATTCTATATATCACTCCGAGGCTTGCCAAAAGACACAAGGGTGAGATTCTATATATCACTCTGAGGCTTGCCAAAAGACACACAGGTGAGATTCCCTATATAACTCTGAGGCTTGCCAAAAGACACAAGGGTGAGATTCCCTATATCACTCCGAGGCTTCCCAAAAGACACACAGGTGAGATTCTATATATCACTCTGAGGCTTGCCAAAAGACACAAGGGTGAGATTCTATATATCACTCAGAGGCTTGCCAAAAGACACAAGGGTGAGATTCCCTATATAACTCTGAGGCTTGCCAAAAGACACAAGGGTGAGATTCTATATATCACTCTGAGGCTTGCCAAAAGACACAAGGGTGAGATTCCCTATATAACTCTGAGGTTTGCCAAAAGACACACAGGTGAGATTTTTTAGATACATTCACCCAGCAGGGAACGGGAGGTGGATGTAAAAACCCTCTAGCATTCATAGCATTCATAGGTAGCTATACTCCTCAGGGAGTTGAGAATGATAACTGGAATGCACGCGGATCCACTGGTCGGGGAACTAATTAACTGTTTTTAAGCAGATACTAATGTATGGATAAGTGCGTATATAAATGCATACTATACATAATATCTAACATTTGTATTTT